ATATCTAATGAAACCTGCAATGTAAGCATTGCCATATCTACTAAATCCAGCAATGTAAGCAATGCCATATCTACTGAACCCTGCAATGTAAGCATTGCCATATCTACTGAACCCCGCAATGTGAGCATTGCCAAATCTACTAAACCATCGGAAAGAGGATTGACATGTGGATTGTGAAACAAAGAATGGTTGCCATCACCCCATGGGATGGATTAGAAAGTGCTCATATTGGATAAACATAGGGTGCTCGAAAGGGGCTTTACATTGTGATGACCATTTTATTGAGACAACACCAGCACTGTGCCGCATGACATCTTACAAGAGACACTGACCACAGAGTCTGGGTTTAGGCGTTCAAAGCTGAGAATGTTCATTTTATTAGCTTGGAGATGCAACTCTATTTATTGTACTGTTCGTTCTCCAGGGTTATTCACTAATGAGTAAAATTGTGAGAATTCAGAGTGAATTTTAATACCTTGGTCAAAATAGCCAAATCGGGAAAATATCTTCAACTCAGCTTTGTTTTTTTGTTTAACTATTCACTTTGACTTCCTGACACCCAATTTACTGAATAACCCTGGGATGTATTTATCTCCCTTTCTCTCACTGGTCTGCATACATCATTGATATCATGCATTCTGCTGCTTGGAATCACTAGTCTGTAAACCATCCCGGGATCAGGGTTAAAACAAACGTATGTATTATTTCAAACATGTAGAAAAGTGTTCGTGCTCTAGTAATTATAGTACAAAAAATGTTGTTAGCACTTTGGATTTGAGCCTTGATGGCATTGGCTGGGGTGGGTGGTTTAGCAGAGTGATGCAGAACAGATTTACCCAATAGGCGACCAATGTGACTGCCTAAGACCCAGTGTCAGACAGGGGACCCCATGCAGACCTAGCCTTCTCCACCACACACAACACTTAGCCACTACACACACACACTTACAGAAACGGAGCCTCGGGCAACGTTAATCCGGCTCTAAAGCAAGGATGAGAAGTCTGTTGGCACCCAAAGACCGGTAGTTCATACTTCATGTATATTCAACAAGGTTTTTCACTAAACTCAGGATTTTTATGGATTGAATTCGAATGAGAAAAGCAAGGCAATATCAGGGGAAATACCTGATCTGCAAAAATGTTTTAGCCATAGTCACAACCTGGATATTTTTGTATCAGATTTGCCATTTGCCATAAATTTACAAAAATATAAAGTTTAGTGAATAAACTTGTGCGTGAATAGTTGTAGATTAAATGTGAATTTTAATTTTCAGGTGAATATATGTTTAACAGTGTCCACAATTAAAAACAAATGAAAGATTACTATCTATAAAAAAACAACAACCAGGAAAGCTGTGATTTTAATGAATTAAAGTAGAGAAATATTTCATATTGTGTGGCTGTGAAATTGCAGTATGTCACATTATAAAACTAGCAATGCTCTTTGGAGAATGTGATTTTTAGTGTAGATTATCCTTCCTGGAAAGTGTTCACTGTTATCGCTCCCTCTTTACTACCCACCTCTCTGTGTTCATCCACTGTTCTTTACTTATACCTGTTGAGCCTTTCTTCCCAAACTCCTACTAAATTCTTTAAATACATGCTCTCACACCAGACATTTAAATCTTACTTCCACCTTCTCTTCCTTTTCATCCCTCTACTCCTGGCAGCTGGTGATGCCTCACCAAACCCTGGTCCCTCTTCCACTTACCTATCTTGTGCTAACACCAGAAACCACAATAATCTGATATCCATCCCATGCAGGCCTGGATTGGCCATTGGGGAAATGCCAGGTGGGCCACAGTGACTGTGGGCCAAGGCTGGCAGGGGAGGTTACAGGATTTTCCTGGCCGGTCCATGCAGGGCCGACACTATCCGAGCGCCGGCCTCGCTGTGTTACATGACTGGCCAGTGTTGTGATTAAAGATCTCCCTCACTGGCCCACATGCAGTGTATTGCGGCACTGGCTGGGGAGAGATAGGAGAGGACCCGGAGGAGCTCTATCTTTCACCTCCGCCAGATTCCTCTTGCGAGATCCACCCCGCACGCACGTTCACATCAATAGTGACGTCATCCTAAAACCCGGCCACTGTCATAGGAGCTGCACGGAGAGAGAGGTGCTGGAGGCAAGATAGGTAACCTCTCCCTCCTTTAGTGTGACTGCACCGATCAGATGCGCCATACCGAGGTGCCGATCGGGCACCATGACAGTAGCCCCCACACAAAGGACCAGGCTTACCAGGGAATTGGGTATGGAAAAAGCGAAGAAGGTGCCCAGCATGATTGTCAGGAGCATTCCTCTGGACCATAATCCTTTCAATCCACCAGATACTGCAAAGAACCCCGGAGAACCTGGAGTCCAAAACAGAACAGAATTCGTACTCCTACTGACCCGCTACCACCAAGGGAGAAGGAGGTACAGAAGGAGTAGTGTACCTATAGCAGATAAGTGGCTTTAGTAAAGAAACATGAAATATATGAGGTATACGAAGGTTGGCAGGGAGGTCAAGGACATAAGACACTGGATTGACAGAAGGCAAGACAGCAGGGTGGAAACCATATACAACATGAAAAGGACTAAGTTTGGAAGAGTCATTTGTTGTTCCAGGCAAATTCTGCCCAGGGCAAGAGGTCAAACCAATTATCCTGGTTATTGTTAACGAAACCGTAGAAAAAGCTCTGTTAGTTTTGGGATGATAAGACGAAGAAAAAGACAGTTCAATACTCAATTCTTTACAAAAAGATTTCCAGAATTGAGAAATGAACTGTGAACCCCTGTCAGAAAGGATGTTTTGAAGAACCCCATGTAATCTCACTATTTCCTTAATGAAAATTTGAGCAAGGTCTTGTAAGGAAGGTAATTTTCTAAGCGGGATGAAATGGGCCATTTTAGAAAATCGATCTATGACCATAAGTATAGTATTATATCCCTTGGAGAAAGGCAGCTCCACAATGAAGTCCATGGCTCTATGAGACCACAGAATGAGAGGCACAGGCAGTGGTTATAACAACCCACATTCTAATTTGTGCAGAACCTTAGAGACAACACTAGTCTGGCAAGTATTGACATAAGCAATAATATCGTCCTTAAAGGACCACTATAGTGCCAGGAAAACACACTCGTTTTCCTGGCACTACAGTGCCCTGAGGGTGCCCCCACCCTCAGGGTCCCCCTCCCACCCGGCTCTAGGGAGAGGAAAGGGGTAAAAACTTACCTTTTTCCAGCGCTGGGCGGGGAGCATTTACAATGCTTTCCTATGGACGCTTGCGTGCTCTCACTGTGATTTTCACAGTGAGAAGCACGCAAGCGCCTCTAGCGGCTGTCAATGAGACAGCCGATAGAGGCTTTGGAGGAAGGATTAACCCATTTATAAACATAGTAGTTTCTCTGAAACTGCTATGTTTATAAAAAAAAATGGGTTAACCCTAGCTGGACCTGGCACCCAGACCACTTCATTAAAGGACCACTATAGTGCCAGGAAAACATACTCATTTTCCTGGCACTATAGTGCCCTGAGGGTGCCCCCACCCTCAGGGACCCCCTCCCGCCCGGCTCTGGAAGGGGGAAACGGGTTTAAACTTACCTTTTTCCAGCGCTGGGCGGAGAGCTCTCCTCCTTCTCTCCTCCTCCGTTCCGCCCCGTTGGCTGAATGCGCACGCGCGGCAAGAGCTGCGCGCGCATTCAGCCAGTCGCATAGGAAAGCATTTACAATGCTTTCCTATGGACGCTGGCGTGCTCTCACTGTGAAAATCACAGTGAGAAGTACGCAAGCGCCTCTAGCGGCTGTCAATGAGACAGCCACTAGAGGATTAGGGGGAAGGCTTAACCCATTCATAAACATAGCAGTTTCTCTGAAACTGCTATGTTTATTAAAAAATGGGTTAACCCTAGCTGGACCTGGCACCCAGACCACTTCATTAAGCTGAAGTGGTCTGGGTGCCTAGAGTGGTCCTTTAAGCTGAAGTGGTCTGGGTGCCTAGAGTGGCCCTTTAATAGAGGGCCATCAGAACTGTCTGGTTACTGCTGAAATGGTTTGATATGTGCCTGTGGGCATCCAGCTGTAATCTTATCATGGAACACAGTAAGAATTGCCTTTCTCTCTGATTCAGGAACGAACAGGAACCGAATCAAATGCCTTGGCAAAATCCAAGTAGATCACATCCATTGCAACACCCGGATCTATACTTCTACTTCTTCGTAGAATGCAATTAGGTTAGTTTGACATGACCTATGTTTCATAAAACCATGCTAAATATTGTTCAACTGTTACAAATCTGACTGTTGCTCTCTCCCTAAGGATCATACTAGATACTCTCACCTCCAATTCTGCTACTTTTCTACTTGCTGTCCCCACTTGATGCCATTGCTATTGTGTTTTTATACCCCACCTCCTCTAGACTATCAGCTTGTCTGAGCAGGGTCCTCATCTACCTATTATTACTGTATAATTTTTGTAATTTGAGGCCAGAGTACCTGAATGGAAAGAATAGCAACATTGAAATTCACTATGAATTCACCTTAAAATTCTCACTTTAGTGAAAACCCAGGTAAACTAGCAAATTAAACAAAACCGATTCGAAAATAGCAAATTTTATAAAAAATGTTTTTGAATATGGCTAAAGTGACAACTTGGCTGACTTATACTCAGTTTAGTCCGTCCTATTTAATTCACTAAAAAAAAGTGATGTTTAGTGAATCATCAGCCATGTGTGTGGCAGAAAATTGTAAAAATCCCCAAATTAAGCAAAAAGAGGTCATTTGGATAAAAATTAGTATGCTCTAAGTACCATAACCACTTCAGAGCCCTATATTTTGATACCAGCTCACACTATGTTGGGACAGTGCTCTCGGCCCAATGCAGGACAGTGAGAGCGGCTGCTAGCGCCCTGGGAGGCACACACTGCGCATGCGCCAAACTCCCCACGGCCCCATGTCACACATGCGCAAGCCTCTCAAACGTCTCATATGGCGCATGCGCAGACGGCCCCCGCAGCTCGGGCTCAGTTGTCGCGAGACTCGCGGTAATATGGCCGCTGCGTTCTGGGCTCCGCTGTGCTGAGGGGAAGCTAAGGGTCCCCCCTTCCCCCCCGTTACACGCCCCCCGCATGTGCCGGCCCCTGCCGCCCTCGCTCCGTGTCGCCACCCGCCAGCCATGACCGGAGAGAAGCTCCGCCCCCTGCGCCGGGGCCACAAGCCCAGTAAGGAGGAGGACCTGCTGGAGCCCGAGGAGGAGGCCACTGCCGGCGGCACCTTCCCCCGCCTGGGCAAAGGGGGCCACAAGCTGAGCCGGGCCCCTGCCAGTGACAACAAGTACCCGCTCCATGAGGCCGTGTACAAAGGGGACATCCGGCGGCTCTCTGCCCTGCTCCGGACACACAGCCTGGGGGACAAGGACAGCCACGGTGAGAGCCCAGGCTGGCCGAGAGTGCTGGGAGGGGGAAGGGGGGAACCAATGGATAATGCTGGCTGAGAGTGCTAACCGGGGGGAACCAATGGATAATGCTGGCCGAGAGTGCTAGGCAGGGGGGGAGGGGGAAACCAATGGATAATGCTGGCCGAGGGTGCTAGGCGGGGGAACCAATGGATAATGCTGGCCGAGAGTGCTAGGCGGGAGGGAACCAATGGATAATGCTGGCCGAGAGTGCTAGGCGGGGTAACCAATGGATAATGCTGGCCGAGAGTGCTAGGCAAAGGGGAGGGAACCAATGGATAATGGTGGCTGAGGGTGCTAGGCGGGGGGGGGGGTAACTAATGGATAATGGTGGCTGAGCGTGCTAGGCAGGGGGAAGGTGTGACCAATGGATAATGGTGGCTGAGGGTGCTAGGAAGGGGGAAGGTTTGACAAATGGATAATGGTGGCTGAGGGTGATGGGGAGAGCTGTCGTCACAGGCAGGAAATGTGTAACAAAAGGTTAGTGGTTGCTGAGAGTAATGAAAATAGCAGTTTCTTGACGACAGGGGGGGAGTTGTAACAAATGCGTAATGGTGGCCAAGAGTGATGGGGAGAGCTGTGTATCGACATTGAGTCTGGCGGTGTATTATAAAGTGTGACGGTACATGTGGTATTACATTGGAAGTGAGCTGCCCCTTCTTATGCATTAAAATATACGAAATAAAATCTTTAAAAAAACAATTTTGTCAAGCAGCAGAAAGAACATGCAATTTATTTTCTAATAAGATACCAGTGTTTAACTTCATATTTTTCTGTAAGTGCGATTGGGTTCCAGTTCTTATTTGTATTTGTGGTTACTTATTCTAATCCATGTATTTACTGTAAAATGGCTCTTTGCTCACCTGTCAGCTAGCCCAGAGATAGCCAACCTTTGACATGACAGCTGTTACTATGACACTGGGACTGCTAAAGTAGCTGTTATTGACTCTGACAGCAACTGTTGAGCTGTTTGATAGTATCTCTATATGTTCTGTGGATGTCATTGGAAGTTACAATTTATTTGTGATGTTGGCTGGCTTTCATGAGTGTTATAATCGGACATCAATTAAAGGGCAGTAAATGGCCATTATTTCTGACAAGTCTCCTATATAGGTAATTCTTGCCCTGGCAATACTTATTAGAAATTCTTATTAGAAATTCATTGTAGTTGTTGTTCAATGTAAAACCTCTGTAGTTCTATGTTATTTATTTATTTCTAAAATAAGTTACGAGGAAATATTTATTTTTGCTGTTTGTTTCCACTCATTAACAGACTGGAAACCCGAATAATACATCACTAATCCAAAGCTGACTCTTTGTGCTCTTGGATATACATATGTTTTAAGGTATAGAATGGGTGACCAATGTTGCGCAATGGTTTTATATCTAGTAATACGGCTAAATAAACAATGAGTTAGTGCCACTCCTAGTCAGTGATTCATTTATTTCCTGTTGCTATGTGACATCACATTTGTCTGATGCATGTAAATGTATGTAATTCCTTAGCCTGTCAATGCCATAGTTCTAAGTTGAATAGATTCAGTCGGATTCAAAAGTCACTGGTATTCACTAGCTGGTGTTGTGATGGAGTAATCTATGATAGAAAGAAAAAAAAATGGCAAAAATAAATAAATTTTTTATGTAAGACCTTCCTGAAAAATCAGGGGTCTAAATATGGTAAAATGTTTGCCTCTGTGGCTTTTAAAACGCCTATCATGGTGGTACTTTAATGAAATGCTGGGTTGTGTTGTATAAGACATGGTAAGCAAACAAGCAAATATTTAGTGTGTTTTTTTTCTTTTTTTTTTTTTTAACACTTTGGTTATTCCAGGTACCTCCATGTGTTTCATGTAATGTGTAGGTTAGGGTATGAGACCTGGTTGTGCTTTGTGGGGTTTTAAATCATCTGCAGTTAAAAAAAATAAAAAAAAATCAAACTGCTCCTTAAAGAAATACTTTCTGTACCATAACCATTATAGCCCGAAAGTTTCATACAGTTTGATAACTTACCTGGGTCCATCGAGGTTCCCTGCATCCAGTTTTCTCTAGCAGTGGTTATGGTGCAAGGCATGTTCCCTAGTTTTACCCTTTCTTCCATTTCCTTCCTACTTGCAATGACCTTTGAATAAGAATGAAACTATACCCGTTAGGGAAACCTTGTTATGCCTATAAAATGCTACTTTACTATATTGGGTTTGTGAGTCCTATGGCCACATTTTGTCAATGTATGCTTAAGGTGTACCTGCTATGGTACACACAAAAGTCTTTAAATAAGAGAATAAACAAATCCTTGCTATATTATGTACAACCAGATGCATAGATTTTCTTAGTGCTATTTAACTATATGGTAACTTACATGTCAATCAATTCTAGGGTTATGTTGAAACTGAGTGGCAGGATAATCCTCCTCTATTTGGTTCTCCTACTTTCACATAATCTATAGATTGTATACCATCATATTTTTAAATTAAAAGCAAATAAAATTATTCTTGCTAAATTACAATGTGCAGATATATAAGAAATATTTTATAGGCCGTCTTTACCAGGCTGACAACCGGATTAAGCCAGGAAGCTGCTAAATGTGTCTTTAGTTCCCCATGTGTTGTCTGTGACCTGGCCCAAAATGCGTTTTTTTTTTTTTTTTTTCAGAACAGATACAGGAAGATGCTGGATGAGGTGCAGATGTGCATGTCCCTTGCATCAGCCTGTATTCTTTGGTGGACATGCGTGTAAATGTATAATTTTTTTTAAATGTCTGGACATTTTTATCTATTCGTCATAATTTATTTTTTTTATTTTTTTTCTAATACATACCTTTCTAAAGCATTCCTCACAATGGTGACCATTGGTGGGCTGAGGCCCTCAGTCCATCACTGGCACTAAAAACATTTCAACACTAGTGCGGGACCATAGGAGGTGGCAAAAGGGCCAAGCATATGGGGCTCTAAGACCTTCATACTTATAATGACTTAATTGAGGGGAAGTTGTTATGGTGCCTGGAGTAATTATTTAATAAAATGCTGCAGCGTTTTAGGTCAAATAGCTGAAATGAAAGAACTCTGTTTATCTTGTGCAGCTATATTAACCTACTTTTTTTTTTTTATACTTTCATTAGTTATCAGTTGTTTCTGCTTTAATGAATATACACCTATTTATGCGTTACAGTGATATCTAAAGAGATTAAACAGTTTAGCATACATGAATCAGTGTATATGTAGTATGATCAGGGGCACCTTTCTGTCTGTATTCTTATGTGTCTGGTCTTAAATGATTTGCAGTATTGTTTCTTTGTGGTTTTTTTCCTTTTTTTTTTTTTTTTTTATCTCCCTCCCCCACCCCCCCATCTCATTTAACCATTAATATAGGTTTTAGTGCCTTCCAAACATTGCCCGTATATATACTCTGATAGTCATGTTTCAATTTGAGAATGATTTGTTTAAAACAAATCTGTAAAGCTTTGCATTTCATCGTGGTGCATCAGGGAAAAAAAAAAGGTAAAACGTGTCTTGTATCCTTAAAATGTATGATGGGCTCTGGAACAGAATGCAAGAGTGACCCAGTTCTCTGCTTAGTCCATTTTTAACAGGATGTGGTCAAGTCAAGCATGAAAACAGCAGGACTATCACAATGTACCAAATGTTCAATCTGAGATTCATTGAACCATTCTATCTGCAATTGTTTTGACTTTTACTTCCTGCTTTGAAGGTGGTCACTGCGTGTTGGATCTTGGCCTGACTGAGTAATGGGAACAGAAGCTGTTTTATTGAGTAGAATTCAGATAAACAGCAGTTGGCTTATTTTGTTCTGAGCAATGAATTTTTCAGAAATGGCTCTTCGTTGAACATATTTTAGATGTATAACCTCTATCTAGATATAATTATGTGGAGTGGATTCCTTTAGCAAGTATGAATTGTTTGTGAGTTATATGTGACAGACCGACCTATGAGCTGGTGTGTATTTCGATCATTGTATCTATTCATATTAATCAGTTGCATGTTAATTCCAAGGGCTGTGGAACAATATATTCTTTTCTGATACGGACTGAAAATACAGCTCATATAATCCTGTTATGACATGACTCATGGACTGTATTAATGCATTTACTTATATTTCAATGGTGTTTATTGCCCCCATACGTTATTTTTTTTTAGTTATTAATGTTTTTATTCACATTCCATTCAATAAGAGTGAAATGGCTATCATAGAGCTAGTTCTATTTTTAACCTTATTCAAGCCTGTGTTTTAATAAATAACTCCCTTGTTCAGAGTGTTAAGATGTACAGAGGGTTTATTTATTTTCTTAATGGAATGTTTGCTATTTTTAAATATACATTCTGGGCATGTTTCAAAGGACATACAATATTGCCACAATTATTTTTGACTAATTAGTTTGGCTGCCAGTAAATCCTTTGAGGAAAAGCACTTGTGGTGCTCCTTTTACAACAAATTAATAGCTTGGGAAACCACCTACTTAAAGACATTCACTGTTTCAGCTTGCGTACCAAAATGATTTCACATCTACTTTTCAGGAGGGGTTTTGGGGAAATGTATAATTTTCTTAAATTCTAACTAATTCTAATGATTTACGTTTTTGCAAACTGCATTCTGAAAGCTGCATCTGTAAGAATATTTTTCAGCTTACACGTGCATGTTCTGCTTTTATTTAGCTCTATAAATGAGACCTAAAAAGAGCACATACACATATGTACTGACTGACCTAGGTAAGCGACTGTATTTCTGGTGCCTCCAACCTCCTATACGTGGGGCAATTTATTACCGGGCAACACAGGATACATTTAATTCGAATGCATTATAACTTACTCTACAAGTAGCTAACTTAATCTGATTTGTAAATACTAATTTCACTGGGTTTTTCACTGTGTGTGTGTGTGTATGTATGTATGTATGTATGTATGTATATAAAATATATATATATATATATATATATATATATATATATATATATACACACACACACACACACAAGCTTTCATTCACAAAGCTGCTCAAGAGAAACCTTTTTTCTTTTATTTTTAATTTGATCTATTTTTTTTACTTTTTTCACCCCCCTTTTTTTTTTTTTTCATCTATTTCTGCTTTGACACACAAAAAAGGGGGAAAAAATGTCTGATCAGACTATCAATTGCTACCCATCATAAATTATTGATCAAATATTGGTGGATCCACCGGCCTGTATATGAACTACCATTTACCATTACTCATAAAGTTATATTTATAGGGTGTACATAGGATACGTTGTCCATATTTTGTCTATATATTATGAATGTTTTCTATTAACTATTGTATAATGAATTAACAGTGTGCACCATTCTTTATATTTTGCAATAGTGGTCCTCATCTATTTTTTTTTTTTTTTTTCTGTTTTCCATTCGTGTACAATAACTTTTTTTGTATTTCAACATATTGATTGTTTTCTTTTTGATGCATACTATATGCGATTGAGTGTGGTAGTAACAGTGATTTATTTGTATATATTATTGAGGTCCTTATGGGGGTTACCTCTCATACCTGCACCACCCTTTGAGTGCAAACACAATAATTATAATTGAATAAAAGTACCTAACACTAACTTTTACCAACACAACTTAAAGGACCAATATGGTGCCCCCACCCTCATGGCCCCCCTGCCACCTGGCTGAAGTTGGAGAAAGGGGTTCAACACTTACCTTTCACCAGCGCCGGGCTCCCTCTTCGGCTGCGCATGCGCAGCAAGAGCCGCGCGCGCATTCAGTCAGTCCATAGGAAAGCATTCTCAATGCTTTCCTATGGACGCTGGCGTCCTCTCACTGTGAAAATCACAGGCGGAAGCGCCTCTAGCGGCTGTCAATGAGACAGCCACTGGAGGCTGGATTAACCCATATGTAAACATAGCAGTTTCCTAGATGGACCAGGCACCCAGACCACTTCATTAAGCTGAAGTGGTCTGGGTGCCCATAGTGGTCCTTTAAATGCGTTTGATAGGTTTTATAATTCTATTCAAGCTGTAATTTTTTATTTTTTTTGTCAGTTCAAATCTATTTAGCTTAGCAAAAAATAATAAAAAAATGTTTGCAGCTTTCTGCAGTGCAACTCCACCCCTTGTCATCATTTTATAACACTGGTACTATAAAAGCTGCCCTGTCATTATTTTTTTTAATTTGGTTTCCCTTTCCTTATGTGATTGAGGGATCTGTATAGAAGCAGATTAGATACATTTTAATTTTAGTGACAGACACAATTTAATCATAGAACCTTAAAAAAAAAAAAAAAGCTACAAGCTATTTTTTTTATTTTTATTTTTTTAATATTTTTTTTTTTAATTTTACAAATCTCAGCAGTCCTCTGCATGGAGATAGTACTACCTTGTCTCACAATTTTGGGCCCTGTTCCTTGGTATGAGATGGCTTCTCTGTAATATGCTAAATTATGATACAATGCTTTTTAGGAATACTCACACATTAGCAATATTTGCCGGTATTGCAAGAGCTGTTTTATTTTTAGCCAATCTAATTCGAGAGAATGACGCACACATTGTAGGAGATCCCTGTTAAAATATGCATTTATTTATGGAACATTTGTTGCTAAATGACAGTCTTGTCAACTTGCAGCTTTTTTTTCCCCTTCCCTCCCACATTTCCAAATGCTACAAAATTACAATTATTTATCTAGTGCCAACTTATTCCACAGCGATATACAATCGGAAACGAGACAAAGATTTAATTCCAACAAAATGTGTCACATGCGAGAACAGTAGTTGGAGAGGGTCCTGCCCAGATGACAAGATATATAGTAATGCAACAACAGTGTTGTATAGTTCACAATTAGGTCAGATTGGCACAGTGTTCAGGAAATTGATAGGAAAAACAATACTTGAATTGGTAACATGGTCATGCTGCCCGAAAGAATCACTTTTTGATTGTGATCAATGATAATGATAAAGCTGTCAAGCTAATGAACCTGTTATAGGGAAGGTATTTGTGGAAATGGGGGGACACTCCATCTGGATGCCCTGAAAACCCCAAGTAAAAATCCAAACTGTTTTTGTCCCTATAAATTCTTGTGAAAAGGATGAGGCTAGAGGAGAAATGAAACATGTTTCCCTCTCAGCTGGAGCCAGCACATTTCGTTCTACTGTAAGTCTTGTAAGAAGACAGCAGTCTGTCCCCCGTGTATATAGTGAAAGTGTCAGCCATGTTCCCTCTCGTGGGAATCCATAAAACTGGGTCTGTGGTTTGTGTATTAAAAGTACTTGTCCTTTTGGTACCCACTGGATTACTTGTAGGGTTAATTGGTGCAAAGCATTATTGTGCCTTCTAGAGGCTCTAGGGTGACTGTGACCCCTCATTAATTGTGCCTTGCTTGAAATAGGTCTATGAAATTCACCAGTAGGTAATGGTAACAATAATGGGGTCTGTGAATTTTATTTTTCTTGGGCAGTTGGGTCAGTTTAAGGACTTTGCAAGTCTCCTGTGCCGGGGGTAACTTGCTCCTGGCACAAAAGTGCCAATATCTCAGTTTGAGCAATTTTTCATTCTGAAACACTGCCCATGCACGATTCCAACCACCACGACCACATCTGAATGCAGAAGTGATCACGGTGGTTGGAGTAACACTTTAAAGGGACACTCCAACCTTAAACATTTAAGCGTGCTGAAATGTGTGAATAGTGTCTTTTTTTTCTTTTTATTTCTCTTTTGCTAAAAGTGCAGATTTCAATAGAAATTTACACTCTTATAAAGTAATCTGGTTACACCCCCTGGCTGTTAATCCAACAACAGGTCCAGTTACTTCCTGGTTTGTTTAGCTCCGTTGAACTAAATTCAAGAAGCGGCAATTGTCCAGAGCACCTGCCTTGCAAAGACTTAATTTAGCTGCATTGGGAAGTCTGCGATTGGACAGCCACAGAAAATCTGGGTGGTGGTAGAAGGGGAGGGCTTGCAAAGGCAGCAGACAAGAGAGAGGCCGGCTTTGCAAGAGGTTATTAGATATAACCCCAATGAAAAAAAAAAAATCCATAATTAAATGCATGCAAGTTGGAATTTTGGGTATATCTACTAAACAGTGATTTTATTTTTGTATTTGGATAGAGGATTTTCATTTTTAAGTAGAAGTCAAACAACTGACTTATACTGGTAATAGCTACAAGTGTTTTTTTTTTTCAAATGGTAAAAACTTTGTAAAATTTTTTTACTATGTATTGACAATTTTATGTCCACTATAAATGAGGGACATCCGTTTTAGTTTGCAGTCATTTTATCATAATTGGTGTGGTTTCCGGTCTATAAAAGCATAAATTGACACCAATGGTTGCTCTCTAAATTCTAAATATTGGTTTATTCTGTAAACTCAGAAGCCCCCTTTGCCTAGGTCTTTGTACAGATTGTGGATGCTTAGTTAGATGTGGACTTCAGTCAAGAATGTATGTCCTTTATGCCATAAAAATCTAGTATTTAGAAAACCTTTTCATCTTATGAAAGCTGTTTGATTTACAAAGTGGATCTTGCAATTCACTATAACTGTAAATAACCATGCTATAATTATAGGCACCTAGAGCTTTCTATATTATCTACCTTTTTGCAGCCATGGAACTTTTTTGTTTTTATGTTTTTGGTCAATCTTTCTTTTATTAAGGCATTTGATTTGAGTGGCACAGAATAAAGAAAAGGAGTTGAACGAGAGATGTACACCATATAGGGGTATCACAACATGGTTTTACAAACTTCCAGATATGATTGCCTCATTTTTTTGAATAATTAAGTAGGATTTAAACATGGTAAGCTAATGATCCAAGACTATAAACAGTTATGAAGTTTAAACATTAAAGAAGAAACTGTCTCGGCTACATGGTAGTTAGGCATGTCTGTAAGCAGACGAGTTAGCTCTGTGAAGGTTTCCACTAGTTGCACAAGCATATGCTAAAAAGTGCACGCAGGCTACAGCACATAAACTGGCCTGCTATATACTGCTAGTGGCCGGTGCAGCCTTTGCTAAACAAAACCTGTGCATTTGAGCAGTGTAGATTGCTTAAAGGGATCCCCCTAAAGTATGGGGGGAGCTATGGGTACACCCACAGTCCCATGCTGGAGGATCGCCGTTTCCTCCCCCCATGGGATCTGCTGGGGGAGTATACTGCAGAAACGGAGTCTGACCGAGGACCGGTAAGTATGGCTCCAAACTGTTTTCAGAGGGCACCCCAGCTGTTAGTGGCAGGTAGGTACCCGTTTGAGTGAGTTTAGGGAATATCACCTTGTTTTGTAGCTGTTTACTTTGCAGGATGTTCGAGGGAGCTCATATCAAACGCGTCAGTCGGCCTTAATGGTTGGGCCCTGCAGCCATGAAATTTAAAATCCTGTGTTTTATTCACTAAACGATAATTTGTGGAGACTTGCCCAGGAAGTGCAGAGCTGCAATAAATTCTCGCAGTGCTTCTAGTTTGGTTAATTTGACTTAAAATCTGCAATTTTCTCATCTGTTTTTCACAAGTGTGATTCTCATATATATTTTAAGTTATTCTGTGCTGGTTTTATTTCCCTTCTCTCTCTGCCAGTTTTCTGTATTAACTGTTACTCTTGCTGAAATATTTATATAAAGTGCTATTTAAATTTTTAGCAGGAGAAATTCCATGCTAGATGCCCCAGATCTGTCACCGACTATAACGAGACAACCTTTTTGCACACCTACTTTATTTATGAATTTGATTATTGTAATGAGATTTTCTTCCAAGAGTGCAGAGCCGTTAATTAGCTATGTTAGTTCCTCGTTATGTTTCGCCTTTGATAAAACAGGCCATGGGTAGGTTGATCAATCTGTGTAGATGACTGAAATAGCTGTTTATGTCTGGATTATTTTGTCTATTTCTGTACACACTGGCACCCAGCAGCTGATCCTGTTCTTTACTGTTCTATTATAAAGACTTTTGTAAGATCTCCTTTTGTAACGTTTGTCTGCTAGCTGTCATTTCGATCTGAAATCTCACTGGGAGGTAGAAGAGTAGTAAGTTGCAATGGGAGGGAGTATGCTCATTTAAGAAAAGTCTCTACTGAGAATTTACACAAAGTAGGGGGATGCTGTTCACTACTCCACAATACTAAACAAAAAGTACACAACTGTTTTCCTGGCACTAGAGAATCCTGGAGTACCCCTATCCCATGTTGCTGAAGGGGTTAACACCTTCTTCAGCTACTTACCTGAATCCAGTGCCGATATCCCTCGGCGCTGGGTCAGGCTTCGTCCACGCTCCTCCCCTGCTGTCAGCTGGTGGGAGGGGCGGGGGGGAGACCTAATGGCCTTGCGCGCGCTTTAGACCTCCCCATAGGAAAGCATTATTCAGATAACCGACCAAAGGTAGCCCTCTAGTGGCTGTCTTTTAGAGCAGACTTAGAGCTGCAATCTCTGGAAAAGCGTCACAGCACCCAGACCAATTCTGGTCTGGGTGCCTGGATTGTCTGATCTTTGTCCATCTAGGGGAGACAAGAATGATACAACATAGTGCAAAACTGTGTAACCCAGTATGGTGTAAATTTAGGTGACAATTGGCCACTCACTCTACACCATATTGGGTTACACCATGTTGCACTATGTTGTATCATTCTTGTCTCCCCTAGCTGGACAAACCCTATATATTGCAATTATACTGACTGAAGATTTGAGGAGATCTTTAGGTAACCCCATGCTAGAAGGGAAGTTAAGTGTTGTAATACATGTACTTTAGCTCATTTAAGAACTGTTATCTTAAAAATAAGTGCAATTACACTTATGCAATTTAATTGTGATATATTGGGAAAGTTTCTGTTGGGTTGTTTTTTGTTTTTGTTTTTTTTAATTAATTTATTTATTTATTTTTCTTAAGTGTCAGATCTTTGCCAGTCCTTCTAATCAGGTCTTCTGTATCCCTTTAAGTAGGGACTTTCAGGATTTTTTCCACATAAGCCTGGGGTACTTGCACATTAAAGTGGACTGTCACTTCCCAGGATTTATAATCTTATGTTTACTTATCCCCATATTTAACAAATATGTATTTATGAGGTATGAAAATTTACAATTAAATGTAGAAATCCAAACCTCCATCTTTGCCCTGTGGGAATGATTCTTCTAATGTCTGTCTTTTTGCTCTTGGCAGTCAATACAGAGAGGGCATTCAGGGATGAGAAATGAAAGGTTTTACTAATATCTATTTGCGACGTTTGCCTTGTCCGAACTGAGTTATGATGTAATTTGCTAAATCTTTAGTATACATTACAAAGAGAACTGTGCATCTTTAAAAAAAAAAAAAAAAAAAAAACATAATTTGCATTAACTTTTTTTAAAAGTTTTATTCGATGGTGTACTTTGAAAGAGACCGTTCCCTTCTTAAAGAATAGTACTCTTAATAAACTTTGAAACGTTGGCACCCCATGTTCTTAAAATGTGAATAAAAATGCACCCTTTGTTTATACTGCGTTTGTGCTTATTTATGCAGCAAGAATTATCGTTGGTACCGCATTGGTTTCGGAGATATTGAGCATTAAATTTGCTCTTACTACCCATTTTTCACCCCATGTTGTTGAATTTTAAAACCAAATGCACCATTCATTTGTACTGCTTTGTGCCACAAAAATGAATTTTTGTATGGATTTGCTCTCTGTGATATTGTGAGTTTGATCTGGTCAAACCCCTCCCACTTACCACCTTTCACTATTTGTTTGTGCAGCAAAAATTAGCTTTGTGCATTTGGGTTTTGGAGATGTTGCAAATTATATTTGATGGTACATTTTATTCACCTTTTTAAAAGCACGGGGTACCAACTTAACACAGCTCTCTCAATCGGAAACCTTGCAAATCTATTGGTTTAAAATGTATTTATAACCAGCTGTTGTGTTGCAAACTCTGACAGATGTTGGCTATCATAGATGTGTTAATCGACAATAAAGTAATTCTTGGTTTCCATTTAGGTAATACACCATTACATCTTGCGGTGATGCTGGGCAATAAAGGTGAGTACTGCTTTTTTTTTTTTTTCTCCTTCTCTCTCCAGTTTGATTTGATCAATATTATTTGCTATAACGTGTGTGTGTGTGTGTGTGTGTGAGAGACAAGTGGAACTACAATTTAATAACTCCACCACTCTTGCTGTTGCCTTGATGATTAAAGCCAAATAACATGTTCCCGCTACCTTTCTGTGTGTTAATGCATATAGATCAAAATTTTGTACTGGTCTCTTTGGCTTTAAAAAGTATGAAAATCCTTCTCTGTATATTAAAATAAAAAATAAATGTATGTTTTGCGTGTCAAAAAAGGCTTGCACTCATACTGAAATAATGGTGCTTAAAGCGGCATGGTCACCATCTGGGGACTTTGTAGAAAGTGCAACGACCCCGCTACAAAGTGCTTTAGAGTTCATTAAAGGGACTCTATAGTTACCAAAACAACTTGGCTTAATGAAGCATTTTTTGTGTTTAGGTCATGCCTCTGAAGTTTCACTGTTCAATTGAAAACTCCCTCTGTCACCTGATTCTCTGCGCTGGTTCATTTCATCAGCTGGCGGGAGGTCCTCATGCAGTTGCGCAGAAAGCGCTTTACTCACATTACAACTTCCACCATAGGAAAGCATTGTGTAATGCTTTCCTTACAAGGTTTTGGGTGATGCTGGATGTCCTCATGCCTAACGATCTGGAAGTCCCTTGGTGGCTGTCTGGTAAAAAGCCACTAGAGGTGGAGTTAACCCTGCAATGTTAATTATTGCAGTTTATCAAAAATGGCAATATTTACCATTGCAGAGTTAAAGGACCACTATAGGCACCCAGACCACTTCAGCTCAATGAAGTGGTCTGGGTGCCAGGTCCATCTAGGGTTAACCCTGCCTGCTGTAAACATAGCAGTTTCATAGAAACTGCTATGTTTACCTATGGGTTAATCCAGCTTCTAGTGGCTGTCATTGACAGCCGCTAGAGGCGCTTCTCACTGTGATTTTCAAATTGAGAAGATGCATTGAGAATGCTTTCCTATGGACTGACTGCGCGCGGCTCTTGCCACGCATGCGCAATCAGCCGATGACGTTGGGAGGAGGAGAGTCCCCAGCGCCGAGGGAGCCTGGCGCTGGAGAAAGGTAAGTGTTTAACCCCTTACTCCAATTTCAGCCCGGCGGGAGGGTGCCCCCACCCTCAGGGCACTCTAGTGGTCCTTTAAGGGATTGCGGACAGTGCATCCAGACCACGTCCATTAACTAAAGTAGTCTGGGTGCCTATAGTGTCCCTTTAAATCACTTTTTGTTTATGCAGCCCTAACCACAACTTCCCTGCCTGCGACTGACACAGCCTGTATGAAAACAAGCTGGATTCATTTTGATGTAACTTACTTTAAAAGGTTTTATCTTCTGCTCTGTAAATTTAACTTTAATCACACACCTCATGCTCCTGCAGGATCTAGCAAGCTATTAAAGGGATACGATAGTGGCAGGAATACAAAGCTGTATTCCTGACATTATAGGTCCTCGCCTGCCCCGGTGAATAAAGAGTCAAAAACCCTTTAATTGATACCAGTGACAATGTCCCTCGGCGCTGGGTCGCTGCTACGCCTCCTCCATCACTTGTCAAGGGGACGCAAAAGTGCACGCGTGGCAAGTGTCGTACGAGCATTAGGCTCTCCCCATAGGAAAGCATTAAATCAATGCAAAGCATGAGGACGTCTAACACCAGTGAACCAAAAGTCCGGAAACATACAAGAAATGCCACTAGAGCCTGTCTTAGTGTTGCAATGTAAACATTGCAGTTTCTTTAAAACTGCAATGTTTTACATAGCTGCACTAAGTGCAATAGGGACACTGTACCCAGACTTCAATGAGCTCAGGTGGTCTGTGTGCCTATATTGTCCCTTTAACTGAGCAGGAGATAAGAAATTCTAAATTAAACAGAATTTGTAATGAAGGACGTGTAAACATTAGATGACTCTACAGGAAGTGTTTAGGAAGATTATGTAAGTCACATGCAGGGAGGTGTGGCTATTGCATAAACAAAGAGATTAAACTTCTAAATGGCAGAGCAATTAGACTGCAGTGGCATGATCTATACACTAAAGTTGTTTAAGTATTAAAACATAACCTTTATTAAATAATTAAGGCTAAGTTTTAATACTTAAAGTCGTGTGTGATATATATATTATAGTTAAATTCAGATTGGCAGTGACCATTTTGTTATTTTGCAGAATGTGCTCATCTTCTCTTGGCACATAACGCTCCTGTGAAGGTGAAAAATGCTCAGGGTTGGAGCCCTCTGGCAGAGGCTATCAGCTATGGAGACAGACAGATGAGTAAGGGTCTTCTGTTTTATATAATTTGCGATTGATGTTTCTGTTATGTGCAACAATCTCTTATGAAAGTGTTCTGATCATAACGCAGTGTCTCGTTACTGGAAACTTAATTTCACGTTTTTTGTTACTATTGTTAGCACCAACCCATAAACTGTGTATTCACTGAATACGTATTTTTTCCCTCTTTTGCACACGGAGTAGGATTCTGGAGTGTCAGGTGCTATTCAAGTACTTTTAAATTAAAAGGAAACTCTAGCCACCATAACTACAATAACTTGTTATACTACAGTTTGTTTACTGCTTAGTCTCTTTTTCAGTTTTTATCATAAGCTTTTTGCAATAAGAGATTTATTGGCACCCCCCGTTCCCCCATGATCAAGAAGAAGAGGGAATAAAGATACATGTGTAATGTGGTAAAAATTAAGATATATCACGGATTACATCATGGGAACACTTGAGTTCTGCAGGTTCTGTCATGCTAGGAACATTTTAAATGCTGCAGCATTTAGTTTTATACTTGCCTTTGCTGAATGGGAGAGGAATGAGGTCACTTTCAAAGAAGTCTGTTACAATTTCTCGCAGTACAGTGTGAGCTCACAGGTCCGAAACTCCCTGCTGACTTTGTGGCACTATGCTCACTGACCTGTTTTACTCGTAGACTATTCGAAGTCTGAATATTATCCAGAAGTAGGATCCTGTATATTATATTGGGTGTGGTTTTTGTAGCCATTTAAATTTATGCCATGGTGGAACCTTAGGAAGTATGTATTCAACCAGGCTTTCTAACTTTGATTGTAATTTAACAATTTTAGAAATGTGACATACAATTCTGGATTCAGCAGAATTCACCAGTTTTTGATTACAAAAATAAATTCTTAGAGCATTGTATTGTATTGTCTCATTTTCTACAAAAATAAAGGTTTGTTTTTTTTCGTTGTAATTGGCTGTCACATATTCCAATAATACTTTTTAGCGATAATGTAACATTTTATTTCAGTTACAGCACTGCTCCGAAAGCTAAAGCAGCAGTCCAGGGAGAGTGTGGAAGAAAAGAGACCTCGTCTATTAAATGCTCTGAAAGAGGTAATATCTAGCAATGTATTTTTGGGTGCTCAAAAGTTCAATCGGAACATGTTCCACCTTTGCATATGGAAATTTTTAATTTAATTTTATTTCACATTGAGAGTATATGTGTGGGGTTTTTAACCCTTGGCCTGCTGGTTGTGACCAATTTTTTAAAAAAAATTTTTAAATTTCCACATGATTTAGATCTGGGCTCACAATTTTCAGTTCTAGCCTACTAGACTGGAATAAACGTTACTGGACAATGGAATCCTTCAATGGTCCATAGCACCAAGGGGTGAATTGTTACTCACCAGGCCAGGATTTTTACTTGTCAGTAGCTAGTGGGCAAGTAGTGAGCCTTGATTTAGATTGTGGAGTCTGATCATCAAAATAATGAATAATGGCAAGCTACCTTCTGTCGTGCTTTTATTTAAGATTGTATCTTATATTTTGCTTTTTATGCAGCTGGGAGATTTTTACCTGGAGCTTCATTGGGATTTTCAGAGCTGGGGTAAGTGACATGTTGAGCTGATTCTCAATAACTTCTCACACTGTGAATCTGTAAATGGACTTTACAGATCCCCATGTCAATTGAAGATCTGGTTAATATTCCAGATTGAGACTTCCTCTATAAATAAATGATCACTCTTGCTGTATTAAATTGTCCTACTTCTAAAGCACGCTCTGTTTTTTTAATTATTTATTTCAATTAATTTTGTAAGTTTCCATTTAAGGTCTTTTTTTTTTATTTTTTTTATTTTTTTTTCTCTAAGGCTTCATTTATTTCTGTTTTACCTGGCATTAAATAATGAAGTATTGAATCTTATATTCTCATGTATTCACTACGCAGTGCCTTTACTTTCCCGAATCCTGCCTTCTGATGCATGCAAGATCTATAAACAAGGTATAAATATCAGGTGGGTGTCCAGCTTTTCACTACTGAGAGGAAAAATGGAATAACAATTGAGGGCTCTTGTTATGTGTTCATTGATCATTTCCTTTTTTGGAGCGCGCATGTTTAATTGGAAGGGTGAAAGTTAACTTTTTTTTTTTTTTCACAAACTCTTCATGGAAGGATGTTGGGCAACCAAGGGATGCCATTATTTTTGTTGCGCTGGTTCGACTGGAATCTTAAATTCACTGCAGAAATTCCCACATCCCTTCCCTGTTCTTAAAGTACAGTTACAAAAACAAATTAGTTTTTATTTGCACTTAAAGTAGACATGCCTTCCTCAAAATGTTTAGCTATATATTTTGTCTATACATGTTGCCTCCTTCTCATGTAAAATAGCAGGCAGATGGCCATGACATCACGCAGCCAACCAACACAAAATAACATGTGTGGAATCTATCAATACCACAATGGTTTTGCATGCAATTAACCTTTAAAGCACCAGTAGTGTTCGGGGTTGGCTGAAGGTAAATGTCATATATTTGATGTCAGTACTTGCCATAGAGACAAAGTTTGAGGGTCCAATAGACTCTTTGAATTTATATGTATATCATGATTTTTTTTCTTTTTTTTTTTTTTTATATGTCCGTTGTACTTGCAGCATCATTTTGTTCTTTCTCTTTTAAAGAGACCCTATAGTCACTAGAACAACTACAACTTAATGTAGTTGTTCTGGGGAGTATAGTAAGTCCCTGCAGGCATTAGGTTGTAAACACAGTCTTTTCAGAAAAAAGGCGGTGTTTATATTAAAGACTAGGGACGCCTCCAGTGGCCTCTGACGTTCAGCGTCTCCATGCTCTGCATGGCGCTGCTTAACACTCCCCAAAGAGATGCATTGATTTAATGCATTTCTATGAGGAGATACTGATTGGCCAGGGTGGCGTTTGGGTCCGCCCCTGGCCCGCCTCCTTGACGATTTGTGAGAAAGTATTGTATTGGCTAAGATCATCAATTCTGAAGTGAGCCAAAGAGGCAGATCGGGAGCAAGCCAACTAAATGCTGGTTTTAGCACTATATGGTCAGGAAAGATGTTTGTATTCCTGACCCTATAGTGATCCTTTAAACATTTTTATCGGTACATGGTATTTATGAAGAGGCCTTGTGTGTGGCTGCATTTTTGCTTCTTCATCCACTGCAGGTCCCATCTTTGAAGTTAACCTCATGCTTTTGGAAAATGTCTTTTAATCTTTACTTTTGCTGCCAATTTTTACAAATTGTTTACATTGTTACAAAATCTATTTGAAACCCACATCCCTGACAAATATCCACTTTAAACCGTTTGACATGTGTATTGATCAGGGAGTTGTGCTTTCTTTTCCAGATTGGACACCACGCTTATAGACTTCACTGACATGAAGTGCCAACGAGGGGATCTTAGTTTCATATTTAATGGTGATGCTGCTCCTTCTGAATCCTTTGTTGTTTTAGACAATGAACAGAAAGTTTACCAGAGAATACATCACGAGGTAAGCACGCGATATCCGCATGAGTTTAAAAAAAAAAAAAAAAAGTCAGAAAATGCATTTATTCCTTTCACTGTCACGTATGTAAATCCTTTAATTTAAGCTAATAAACGTTGGCTTTAAAGCACTATTTTTCTTCTTCAACTTAGAAACACCAGATGTTTATAATTGTTATAATAGTCATTGTTTATAATGGTTTGTTAATGGTTTGATCTTTACTACTTTAAAAGGTTACTCTAATTGATTTGAAGTGGTCATGGTGCTTGGAATCTCTTTGCACAGTTTCAATCTCTGCACATACAGAGATGAGGACCATTGTTGCTGGCAGTGTCATTAACCATCTCGGAAAGAGTGCACTGGGCTGAATAATGTTAAATTTGACTGACTGTCAGCATGCTGGCTGCTGCAGATTATCAGTGTTGGTCTGGTCCACCCTCTCTGTGTTGCCAAAGTCCTCCCCTCCACCCGTCCACTGTGACAGCCCTCTTCCTGCAGTGTTGGGAAGAGATCCGAATAGATGAGGATTGTGTGGCAGTGGTATCGCAAGAAGGATTTTTTTATTTTATTTATTTTTTACTCAAACAGTTTGTGGATTTTTTTTCTTCTGTTTCTGTTTATTGAATAATGTTTTAAATATTTCTTAATCTTATTGGTGGCAGAAGATACAAGGCATTTAAATAAAGTAATGTGGCAGATAGTATTTTTTTCCTGTGTCTGCGTCAGGGCCAAGAGTTGTGAAATGGAATTATTTTCTTCCCACCCGTATTTCCCTGCATATGCCATCTGGAGAGTTCTTGTTTCACCATTGTGAAACGACATGTTGTTAGCAGAATTTCTGGGCCTGTACTACAAAGCAATCATCAATGCCAGCAGCTTTCACTCCTTTTAAAAACCTTGTCTGTTCTTCCTTGTGTAACCCCACCTCTTCTGAAAATGTCAGTATAACCTCTTTATGACATGTATTGTGGGATTTGCTTAACCTCTTGCCATAATACAGGTAACAGTTATTGTACTTATATTTATCCATATGTAATGAATGTAAAATTGTTTGCACCCTACTAGAGGTGTGTTCTCAGACAAATGTAAACGTTACTGTTTCTTGGAAAGGGAAATTGTTTATATTGTCCAAATAAAGGGGCAGCATTTGTGCAGCAAAACTACTACATTAAGATGTAATGCTTTTGGTACTTAGTGTTTAATATGAATGCTGTAGGACTAATGCAATGAAAGTTGTTTTTTGTAAAATGGATTACAGTTGACAATTTTATTTTTTTGTTCTAGAAATGAAAACCTACAATAAAATTAAATGTCTTCTACTCTAAAAACAAAAAAAAAAACTGTATAAAGAGAGGAATATCGCAAGACCTTAATTTCAGGCATCTAATGTATTTGGTCACATGTTAAGTGGTTGGAGTTGTTTCCTGTTGGTAATCCATTATGTGGGTTTTACTTGAAATTGTGCAATTTTTGATGGGATGAGTAATATAGTGTGTATATATAGCACACATACTTGTGTTACCTACGTTTTAATGAAGGACAATGGCCATTCTAGATGTTTCCAAAACACACTACCTTATGTTTTATTTTTTTATATAAATATAATACAAGGATATTATATACGGACTTTTACATTTTTCACACCTCTTCTTAACCTGAAGTTGGGTTTATTTAAACATGTATCTGATTCTTTATAATTTTTTTTTTTTTTTTCAGGAATCTGAAATGGAGACAGAAGAGGAGGTGGACATTTTGATGAGTAGTGACATTTATTCGGCCACATTATCTACTAAATCGATTACCTTTACAAGGGCCCAAACTGGATGGCTTTTCAGAGAGGATAAAACGGTATGTTCCAGTCAGTGGCAGAGTATTTTTTGCTACTGCGAAGCTCCTCCAACTCCATGGTCTCTTGGAATGTTCAGATTAGAAGTATGAACAAGAACCCTCTTATCGCTTGGCCTCTGATTTAAAAGTTAATAACAATGACATTAGAAGACCCATACATTACTGCCTCTGATATGAGAAACAGTTAAGTGTTCTTCACCTTTATGTGTATGAGGAGGGGAGTAAGACTTATGATCTCTTCTCAGTAAATCAGTTGGCCTGTCTGTTGGTACGCAAGCTGTTTTTAGAACTTTAAGTACTTCGTGCACATTCCCTGATTTTCGTTTGGGCCAGTGGCTGACTGGATAATTTTGACACTCTCAATTGCTGGTACCCTGCTCTGTTATTTAATTATTGATGGGCCACAGGCATAAGCCGTTCCTTGCCTGTTAATAAGTTGTTGCTTTCAAACTGCACTGAGGATAAACACAGACAATGGGATGTCTGTGGCACACAAACCCCATGGAGGGTCCCACATGTTGAGATCTGGTGCAAAGGTAAAAACTGATGTTAATAAAGGCAAGTGGCAAGGAGGGTAGGCGTATAATCATTAAGATATAAGGGGCAGAGAAAACAGATTTAAAAAAAAAAAAAAGACACTGCCATTTTAAAGTGGCTCTGCCACCGCAATATTAACTATGAATATTTCAGAAAGGTAGCATCTCTGAAAAACCCATGCTGACTGCATTTGGAATTAAATATGAGTATAATAAATATGCATTAAATATCAGTAGATCATAAGACAATGTAGGGACTATGGCCAGGTTGACAAAAGGCAGAGAGTCAGTTTTTTTCAGCTGTCGCTCGTGACGGCTTTTCGTAATAGAGCATCTTCTTGTGGACTGCTACTTTAAAATGTAAAACTTTCACCACTTTAAAAAAAAAAAAAAATTAATCTGTAAAAAATAAATAAAAAAAATGAGCACATTCATAGTTATATACTCAAATCTTCACTGCACACCTTGTACTGACTGATGATGTAGAATTTGTATCTCTTGTTTATTTGCCAATGTAGTGGTTTATACTCTTATTTCTTTATATTATTTCAAGGAGCGAGTGGGAAATTTCCTTGCAGATTTTTATTTGGTAAATGGGCTTATACTGGAGTCTCGGAAAAGAAGAGAACATCTCAGTGAAGAAGACATACTCCGCAATAAAGCCATCATGGAGAGTTTAAGTAAAGGGGGAAATTTAATGGAGCAAAACTTTGAGGTACGTTTAAAAGTTCAAACACCAAATGAACTGGCAGCATTAAAGAGTGGCCAGATAGTGCAAATAATAAATGGCTAGTGATCAGAGTATAATTTATGTATAGAGATGGCTTGCTGGGGAAGAAGACAGACCTCAAGACATGTTGAGAGAGTATCTAATTGGGAGGCGTGCCTTTAGGCTGCTGGTGAAGTGTTGGAATGACTAAATATATGTTAGACACATGGAGATGTTTATGGAATCTTGTGGGGTGGGGGGCACTCCTATATATGGTTAGTGAATGAGCGGTTTGGTTGCATAACACTGCTTGCTAGGGAGGTATGAAAAAGGTTCTAAGCCAAATCTGATTGCTATTCTTGTTTATGCGTTTTACAATGCAGCCTGTGCGGAGACAATCGCTCACACCTCCTCCTCCTAACACAATCACTTGGGAAGAGTATACAGCTGCTGAAAATGGAAAGTATGTATAGATAGTTATGTTTTTACTTCTATTTTGTTGACTCCTTCATGACAACATTTTTACAAAATGCCTTGTGTTTGTGACTGGGGCATTCTTGACACCTGTAACACTTCAATTCTATTTAGATGCACTTTTACATATTGTATGTATTAACAAATTGGAAATGCACTTTTTACCCCAAAGTGTGTGTGTGTTTTTTTTTTTTTTTTTTCTCGTTTGCTTCTACAAAATTATTGCAGCTGAAAGGTACACGATAAGCACTAGAACAACTTTAGCTTATTGGAGTGGTTTTGATGTATAGATCCTGCCCTGGCAGTCTCAGTTCTCTGCCATTTACAATTCAGATCACTTTGTTTATGAAGCCCTAGTCACACCTTCCATTCATGTGACCCACACATTTCCTGTGTAGAGATAAAATTTAAACATTTTTTATTGCACAGTCCATTTAATTTAGAATTTCTCGTCTCCAGCTCTGTTAATAGCCTGCTAGAGCCTACTGGACCCTGCTGTTCAATTAACATTAGCCTGACATAAAAAAGTCTAAAATAAACACACTGTACTGATTCGGAAATGAAACCATTTTTTTTTTTTCATGCAGGCTGTCTCAGTCACAGCATGGGGAAGTGTGACTAGGGCTGCAAAAACCGTGATTTAGCTCCTAAATGGCAGAGAATTGAGCAGTGAGACTGCAGTTGCATGACTTTTACACCCAAACTGCCTCATTAAGCTTAAGTTGTTTTGGTGTTTAGAGTATTCCTTTCAGCAAATCTTAGGTTTGTTTGTGTTTTTATTTTAATTATTCCTGGTTGTCAAATGCCTCATATTTATTAGTTTGAAGTTATTGGGCAAATATTGCAAGGTGTGTATTGATTTAAAATCCAAAAACTTGCTGTTTGGTGTGCGGAGGCTGCAACATTAATAAGTCATATTAATCCAGAACTGCAAAACAAATATATGTAGAATGTAGACTAGCCCATTAGGGCTCTTGCCTAAAAATAACTTTGAATGCATTGCATTAGATACTTCTGCCAATCTAATGTTTATATTTAATCATTTGTGTTCTTCACAAGTGTTTCATTTTCATGAGGTATTTTCACAGACATGTCAAATATAGTTTTCACTGATTCACTAACTGGGCCTGTCACTTTTGGGATTGAATAGTGACCACCCAACATGGCGTAGCATTTGTAAAAGAAATGTTGAGCTGTGTATAATGGTGTATTTTGAATCTTAACACTTGGCCATTTCATCCCCATTTTCTACCTAATTTAAGGGTCTTCACATGTTGAACTTTAGCTGTTAATTTCACAGGCCTAGTGTGTTTTATTTCAAAGACCCCATATGTTTGTTCTGTTGCTTCTCTTGAGAACAGCAATACCCCAGATGTATACCTTTTGCTAGATGTTTTTGAACTCTTATAGGGTAAAATTGGAGACCTATCATTTTGTCATGACTGCTTGCTTTACTGATAAGCTATTTATTGAAGTGTCCCTATATGTGTCACCTTATAGACCAGCATCACACTTTGACACAATTAAGCGTAACCCCATGTATGCTGATTATGGCATTGTACCGGAACTCTGCATCGGTAAGCGGTACAGTGTGCCATCACACAGGTTTTAAGTTATTTGTTTTAATCAGCCTAAATTCATAGAACAAAAGCAAATAACATTACCTGTGCACTATCCCAAATTCTTTTGCACATTTAAATAGCATAAGGTTTTTAGTACCACTCCAATGGCCATTAAATTGCTAGCTCACATTAAATTCCTGTTAGTTAAAAATGTCTTTCTCGGCTAGCATGATAATATATCTATCTATATTAAACAAACAAGAAGAAGAATCATGGTATGAAATTGAGACCGAATCTTGCCACCTAAGGGATTTGTTCTCTTCTATGGCAATCAAAGGACTCAAATATATTAATGGCCAGAGAATCTAGCACTGTTTTGGATCATCTTATCGGTTTCTGTATTAGATTAAAAAATAAATGTGGTATATTGAACCAGATTCCAGAATATATTTAGTTTCTTTGGAACATTATATTATGGACTTGGGCTTGAAGGGGTGGAGGCAGAGGGACATCATAAAAATAGAGCAAATTTTAATAGCAGGAAAATTAAAACCTTTTCCACTGATTGTTCAAGAATACCAAATTTCAGAATCAGAGATATTTAATTATCTAAGATTTAAAAAAATTATATAGCGTCCAATTTACTGAAAGACAAACCGGATATAACAGACAAACTTTTCAATATTATAAATTCTGATTTAACGTCTAAAGTTTTGTCTAAAGGTATGGATCTGTCTAAATACGATGGAAATATTACAAACAAATTTCCAAATGTGGCAAAAAGACATAAATTGTACTATAAATATGAAAGAAGGGTGTGTGAGGCATGGATAAAGGTTAAAGTAATGCACTGTATAAACTGGGCAGAAATACAATTCAAAGTAATACGTAGGTGGTATTTAAAAAAAAAAAAAAAAAAAATTAAAAAAAAAAAAATGTACCCCCAACACTCACCACTGTGTTGGAGGTGTAACCAGGTCAATAGAACATATATTCACATATGGTGGAGCTGTGATAAAATTAACACTTTTTATAAAAAAAAAATTTAGATTTGAATTTTACTCCAGAAATAGCTATTTTGTATCTGAATTGGCCAAAACTAAACAAGCTATGTGTTTTTCATTATACAGTGGTTGTAAAGATTGTAATTATGCGTAGTTTGAAAAATCCTCTAGCTCCAATATGGACAAATATACATAAACCGTTACTATACCAAATTAAAATTGAACTGAACATCAGCAAAACCCTAGGATGTAGATCCAAAATATGGGAAGAATGGGCAAATAAACTTGATATAGAAAATATTAATCAACCCTTAACTTTGACTTTAAAAAAAAATAAAAAAATAAATCTTAAAATAGATGAAGAATTTAATGGTTCTAATCACAACTCCCCGGGATGCTCCTCCTAGTCAACAGATTGATTTAATCTTAAATGTAAAGTCAATTAAAAAAGGCCCGGATACAGCACTGTTACATTTAAATTGGAAACTTTCTTCCACTTCTTCTAAGTGCCTCGTAAACCATTGCTTCTTGGCAGTAAAAATAATAATAGCAAGACAATGGAAGTCGCATCTTCCTTTCTTGAGGAGTCAGCTTGTTAATCAAGTTTTTTATTCCAACTCCAAATGGAAAAAGATTTACCAGTCTCCTCTATACTTCTTATAAAGAAACAAGACAAATACATTAATTGGATTCGAATTTTGGAAAATAAATAAATTATTTCTTCTTTCCTTAGATTTCGATAGATAATCTCACTACAGTGATATTTCTCTTCCCATGATGTTTAGACTGACCATAGCCCATATTTATTCTTATTTTTGACAACAGTTCTACAAATTAAAATTTATCTTTTTATTAAGATATCCTTAGCTGTTTAGCTTGGGAATTACCTTATACTTAAGATTAGAACAGTTGTAACAATGTAAATTATATGTTTGTTATTGTCACACTTGTTTTTGTCTTGTATGTAAATTTCACTATTTTGTCATATGTACGATAAAATGAGAAAAAATAAAAATAAAAAATAATCTTAAATGTAAAGTCCTGTATTTTAGTTTAATGTGTATATTGCACTGTGTAATAATTTATGTGCAAGTCATTAATATTTCTCTTATGGAGGTTATTATAGATTTGTCGATGGTCAAACTAGTTAACAGTGGTTAATGTAGTTTTAAATTTTCTCAGATATCAATTCCTGAATAAGAGGAACATAAAACAGAGATTATATATAAAGAAAGAGGAAAGAGAAGGAAAAATGGGGAAAAAAGAGAAGAGTGTGTGTGTGTGTGTGTATGTGTGTATATGTGTGTGTGTGTGTGTATATGTGTGTGTGTGTATATGTGTGTGTGTGTGTATGTATGTATATATATATATATATATATATATATAAATTTTTTTTTTTATTGTAACACAATTAATTATGAAAACAGGCTTAATATGTTTTTAATAAGAAATAGTGTAATATTGTGTGTCTTGTTAGTGGATTTTTTTTTGTCTATGATTAAAACCCAATAAAGAATATATAATACAAAAAAAATAAAAAATTGCCAGATCACCTGCTAAAGTCAAGGCAAACCTCTTGGGTGAGTCCTGCACCAACAATTCACCTTGCTGCTCTCAGCTAACTAAAATGCAAACTCTCTAAGACCAAAAGGGGTATTGATATGAACTACACACTTACTAACCATTTATAGGGTACACATGGACTGTGTAACACAGAAGCAAATACAAACACAAAATTAAAGGAAAAGTATAGTCATCAGATCAACTACAGCTTAATGTAGTTGTTCTGGCGAGTATAGCATGTCCCTGCAGGCTTTATGCAGTAAACACTGTATTTTCAGAGTAAAGGCAGTGTTTACATTACAGCCTAGGGACACCGCCAGTGGCCACTCATCAGATGTCTACTAGAGGTGCTGCACAGTGTGTAGCACTGACATTTAGTGTCTCTGCTGTCTGCATGGAGACACTGAACTTTCCTCAGAGATGCATTGATTTAATGCATCTCTATGAAGAGATGCTAATTGGCCAGGGTGAGGTTTGGCTCTGCCTCCTTGGCTGCGGTAATCAGAATTGACCATTTCCGCCAATACTTTCCTGTGCGAAAGCATTGTGATTGACTGAGATCACTTCTGATGTCAGCCAAGGAGGCAGTTCGGGGGCAGAGTCGGCATCAGCAAAATGGAGTAAAGGTAAGATTTTACTATAATCAGGGGTGCCCGGGTGCTTCATAGTGTTTTAAACACTATAGGGTCAGAAATACATGTTTGGGTTCCTTTTAAGACCTGCGCTCTAACTCCCACTACTCCTGTGTTTGTGTTTCCTGCTGTATTACATAGCTATGTTACAATACTCCATGTGCATCCTGTTAAAGGTTAATATGTGCATAGGGAATTTATGTTAATACCCCTTTCTGTCTCAGAGATTTTGCCCTTCAACTAAAAGCATCATGGAGAATTGTTGGTGTAGGACTCTAAAAGTTTTTTTTACCTTAAAGGGACTCTCCAATGCCAGGAAAACAAACCCGTTCCTGCAGTGCCCCCATCCCATGTTGCTGAAGGGGTTAAACCCTTTCAGTGACTTACCTGAATCCAACGCTGATGTCCTCTGTGCTGGGTCAGGCTCCTCCCCGCCAACATCAGCCGTCGGGGGAGTCCTAATGCGCATGCGTGGCTATGGCCGCGTGCATTAGACCTCCCCATAGGAAAGCATTATTAAATGCTTTCCTACGGGGATTCTTGTGACTCTGAAGTTCCTCATACATAGCGTGAGGACGTCCAGTTTCATTAAAAATACTTTTCGTGTTCTAAGAAGCCGGAAGTCCCTCTAGTGGCTGTCTGCTAGACAGCCACTAGAGGAGGACTTAATCCTGCAAGGAAATTTATTGCAGTTTATAAAAACTGCAATAATTACACTTGCAGGGTTAAGGGTGATGGGAGTTGGAACCCAGACCACTCCAATGTGCAGAAGGGGTCTGAGTGCCTGGAGTGTCCCTTTAACTTGGCAGGTTAGCTTGCACTTATGGCCACTGGAGTGGTGTGAAAAAACAACAAAGCTTGGTGGTTTAAATATGCATAGGGATCGTGCACAGGTAACTATTTTTTTTCATCTATTCTCCAGTTATAACATGGAGCAGTTTGTGTAATTGCCATCATAGAAAATAAGTCCGAAGCTTTTGAGGGCCAGTAGAAATGCGTGTTTCAACATACCATAAATGCAGTTTATATTTTATCTTATCGTTCTTTGTCTATTAGAGCTCCACACCTTGGAAGAGAACTTGTTTGTAAAGAAAACAAGAAAAACTTCAAAGCAACCATAGCTATGAGTCAGGATTTCCCTCTAGGGATTGAATCGTAAGTTTCTATGTGTGTCTGCACATGTCTCCTCTGTGGGTCAGCAGCAAAAAAAAGCCTACTGCATAATGATACAAGTTTTATTATGTATTGTATAATATTGGCTTATGGTATCTTACAAATGTATCTGAACATAATACAGGAATTTTGTTTATATAAATTACATTTTCATCTCCTTTAAATTGTTTCCGTAGAACAGATTTTAGGAATGATTTACTTTTTCCATCATGATGTCTACGTTCCATAATTGAATACGTAATAATTAAAGACATTGGAAGTTTTTATCTTTTTTTTTTTTTTGTAAAAATTTTTTGTTGTTCAACAGACTGCTGAATGTCTTAGAAGTAATTGCACCTTTCAAGCACTTTAATAAGCTCCGAGAATTCGTTCAGATGAAGCTTCCTCCAGGATTTCCTGTTAAGCTTGGTAAGTATGGAGGATCCATTCAGTACTGTCTTTTACTGCACTAATAACAGGATTGGAACATTTTAGCTATAAAGAAAGGTTAACTAATTTAAACCTCTTTAGTTTAGAAAAACATTGCCTCAGAGGGGATATAATAACATTATACAAATATATCCGGGGCCAATAAAAACATCTGTGCGGAAATCTAGTCACAAAGAGGACTTTACATAGGACACAAGGTCATGTGTTTACACTGGAAGAAAGAAGATTGAGTCTAAGGCAAAGGAACGTTTTTTTTTTTTGGTTTTTTTTTTCATAATAATGAGGATATGGAATTCTCTGCCTGAAGAAGTTGTTTTATCAGAGTCTGTACAGATGTTATACATAAACTAGATGCATAATTAGAGTATCTCTTACAAAGATTTGTATCGAGAGATAGAGGGAAAAAGACCAAACAAAGAGAAGCTCTAAAACTGGATAAATATACATAGTACATGGAGCTGGCTGCCCTAAGCAATGAATAGAATGTATCGCCAAAAAATTGGTTAAAAAGTATCAAAAATTTATTGTTACTATGCTCTATGTACTGGCTTTTTGCCCAACTATAGACATTTTTCTATCACACCGTGTTAGGTGATAGTTAATTTATTTATTTAATTTTTCAACCTGTGTAGCTTTCATCCAAAACTAGTGAGTGAAAGTATATAATTTGGCACATATTACTCTTTTTCCAGAATTCTGTTTTCTGGGTTATGAGATAATTCTGCCATACATATATGGTTTGTTTATACACACATATTTGAATTTTCATATTAATTTGATTTCCTGCAACAATATTATATTTTGCACAATAATCCTCTAACATTCACCAGCTCCTGGATCTTTTACTGCTACACCTCCTGTGCAGCAGATCCTATTTATAAACTAGATGCATACTTGCAAAGCCAGAATATTCAATGATATAATTTTTCAACCGTACTGTTAATGGCTTCTTGATCCAAGCATAAATCTGACTGCCATTCTGTGGTCAATTTTTTTCCCTAGTTTGTTGCAAAATGTAAGTGCTTCAAACTGTTTTTTTTTTTTTTGCCTTCTTTTGGATCAACCGCAAAAAACAAATGTGAGGAAGGTTGAATTTGATGGACACATGTCTCTCTTTTCAGCCTATGTAACTATGTAATTGGGTACATGTTGTTTATTTTTCTATAGTACTCCTTTATGTTCTGTTGTTTTCCTCAGATATACCAGTTTTTCCAACAATCACCGCTACTGTAACATTTCAAGAGTTCCGCTATGGAGAATTTGATGAATCAATTTTTAAGATACCAGATGACTATAAAGAAGATCCAAGTCGGTTTCCGGACCTATAACTGCTTTGATCTTCTTGCTCTTTTTTTTTTTTCCCTCTCCTTCCCAATGCTCTAAGGTGGACATCTGCATATAATAGTAATTTCCCAAGGTTATACAAATATTACTTTTATTTTCTTGAAGATCTGTGGTGCAGCTTGTTCAAGATTCAGCATTTCCAAGATTGCTCTAGTTTGAGCAGTTGGACAAGTCCTAATCTGACTGTGAAATTGTAGATACATATACCTTTCATACTTTCCATGTGTACGAGACTTCATGATATGCTATCTCCCATCTTCTTCTCCCCCCCTCCCCACCCCCTCAGGTTTGGTATTCATCTACTTAAGAATGCCACACAATCATTGTTCATATCCTTAGATTAGTGCTTGAATTAAGTCCCTAGGAAATCACATATATTCACCACACAATTCAAGATAAACTTTTTAATAGTTACCCCTGATCTTCTTTGCCCATTTTGTAAATTATACAGTATGTAAAATGTATAGTTTCTTGTTTGCTGGATTATATTTAAAGTAGAAGGAATGACCTTTAATAAACCAAAAGTTTCAGTTATTGCTCTAAATGTTGCAAGCCCTGTAAGAGATCTCCCAAAACACACACAGCGCTGCAGAGTACTAGGATTGTGGGGCTTACATTTGTTTTTTTTAATGAGTAGTGGTTTTTTTTCTTTTCTTCTGCAAGTAAACCGTGGTCTTGGTAAATACTTTTCTTTTTGTAAACTTTTCTATTCTGTTCTTTTTTTTTTTTTTGTACCATAGCTATCCAGATAATCCTATATTTAGAAATAACTTAGGCTATGCCTTGGTGTCTTGAGACTGTGTCTCTCTGTACCCATTACAGTGGCATTTGTAATTAAGAACATTAAATTAATACAGAGTTTATCTTTAAAATCCAGGTTGATTTTATTTTTATTTTTTACTTTATTACACAGTTGCCCTTATTTAAGGGTTTGCAATGGTGTTTGTTACAGAACACACCTTCAATAAAAGATTGTTTTAGTAATATTGTCATTTATCTGTATAAATCTATATATGGGGAAATTTGTACCTATGTTTGTATTCGGCATGATTTTGTCCCTGGACCACACCCCTTTCTCTCACTATATGTCTGTGATTTAACTGAATTGTGTTTCGGAGGCTGAGAATGTTTTCAAGCTAAGATTTTGTACATAAGACAAATATGTGAAAAAACTTTTTAAACCAGAAAGGCGACTAAACCACAGACTGTTTTGTTTTTTTGTTTTTTTTCGTGATGTAAAAGAAAATCCACTCGCCAGCACTGGTACACTTTGTAAAGCAGTATGCGCGGTAATGGCGCATCTTTGTCTGTGCTGGCGCAGTCCTTTTTTTTTTTTTTTTAGGTTTCACTTATGAGACCTTTCCAAGCTGGAAATGTAATGTCACTTTTATTTCCTTTGTATGTGTGTGTTTACAATGTACCTGGGTAATCAGAAATTAATATTCAGGCAACTCTCTTCTGTCAGGTCTTCCAAACACTTTTTACCTAAAGGGATAATAATGGGAATAATTCATACTTCTCCCTGCATTGAAGAACATGTGATTTCAAATCACTACCGTTGTATAGGTCTTTTAATAAAAGTGTCATTTTAGTTTTTTTTTTTTTTTTTTAACTAGTAAGCAAGATCAAATACTATTTCTTGCAGGAACTGCACCCAGTACTGGTTTCATTAAACAAAAATCTGTTTTAAATAAGTTTATTTTCCTGTTTTTTTTTGGTTTTGTGTTATTTTTTTTATTTTTTTTTTATTTTTATTTTTTTTGCGCTTTGACTTTTATTTTCTGTGTAAGAAGTTGGGTACAATTTCTCCTCTCTACGACATGCACATTTCTCAAGAACATACTTATAGGAACAGTTCAAGGTGTAGCAAAAAAATCCACTAATGAAAATGTTAAATCTTTCATTAATGGCCTTGTGGTGTGGGGAAAAAAAAAAAAATAAGGAACATTTACACCATACTTACCATAAACTTATATTTCTGGCTATTTATCATGGCCACATTGCTTATGGTAGCTCCACCACCAGCCGGTTCAGGACAGCCAAATAATTAATCAACCGGACTGTAGGCATAAAGGTCCCTCCTCCCTATCTACCTCTGTCTCATTAAAAGGCTCAGAATATAATTATTGGGTGGGAACCTGGTGCTGCCATGATAAATAGCTGGGAAAAGAAAATTACAGTAATTATGGAATACATTTTTCTTATTCCTGGTTAGTCATGGCAGCATCACTTGTGGGTAATACTCAAGTTTTTTAAAAAAATAAAAAAAGGGGTGGGGTGGTGGGAGAGGAAGGTCAAAAACAAAATACAGCTAGAAGACTTGACAAATGCCAGAACACACAAATGTTATACAGAAGACACTGATGCCAAATGAGGTGGAGGAAGAGGTGTCATCCAACTTGTAGTGTTTAATGAAGGTCATTAGAGATGACCAAGTGGTTACCCTACAAATTTTATCAGAAGGTACCTCTGCACAGTTAGCCCATGATTTTGTCAAAGGGGAGAGACTGCTTTCTGAGATGGTATGCCTTTTAAAATAACATAAGAAATCCAGCACCTTAAATTGGATGTAGATGCTGTTTCTCTCCTTTTCTATAATCCAGAAGAAAGAATCAATTGGCTTGATTGTTGGAATACTGACAACAAATATTTAATGATGCATTATCAAGTATCCAATTGATGTAATTTAGCTTCCACGTCACATGTAGGATCGGGATAAAAGGAGGGTAAAACGACTTCACAAGTCAGATGGAAATTTGAGATGACTTTAGGCAAAAACGTATGCTTTGGCCTCAAGGTCACCCTGTTGTAGTGTACCTTTAGTATAGCGTTCATCACATGAAAAAGCTTGCATCTTGGACTTTCGAAGTCAGGAATATAGTTTTATATGTTAACATAGTCTGGTTCAGCTCCTCTAGTGGAGCAAAAGTATTTTCTGTCAAGACACTTAGGCCAAGTGGAAGGTTCCATGGTGGAGTATAATTTCATTTTGGAGTATAACACTTAATACAGCCTTAAATAATCTTGTTAAGGGGTCAGAGGCCCAAGAAGTATTCTGTACCTTCAAAGTACTTAAACTTAGCCCTATTGTAAGGACATCTTGAAGAAATTGCATAATATGAGAAGGATGAGGAATAATGAGAAATCCACCTCATTGTTACTTGCCCAGGATTTGAATGCCTCCCATACATGAGTGGGAGATTTGGAGGTATGGCTATTTGTACGTCAGTAGGTGGGAATTATTTTATTATTGCATAGCTTCTTATCAATTTAAAGGTGGTCACTACCCCCCATTTGCCAGTACTGCCCCTATACTAAGGAAAATAGAATGTATGGTAAGTAAAATTACAGTTTTCTCCATAATGAAGATACAGGTCTCTTCCTTTGAGGAAGAAAGGCTTCCTCCCCCTGCTGCTTTTTGAATTGCCTTGTTATGTATCTTCCCAAACAGCAAGCCTCCTTGGAAAGAAAGAGCACATAAGGATGCTGTTGAGGCATAATCCGCACCACAAGAATGTAGCCAGAAGGCCCTCCTGGATGCCACTGATAGTGCTATAATTTTAGCCAACATCTTGGTAATGTCAAGGGTTGCCTCAGAAAAAAAAAATTCTGTTGCTAATTTAAAGTCTGTAAGACTATCAACGTTTTCCCTACATACACCTCTTGTGATGTCATCTTCCAAAATCTGTAATTAGACCTAGATGCTCTAGAAAGAGTAGTCAAAGCCACTGCTGGATGAAGAGCTGACCCTACGGACAGGTAAAGCATGCAGACTCTAAAGAAAAATATGATTAAAGTTGTCCTTTTGGCAATACGGATGACTGCAGCATATATTTTTGGGATGTTAATTCTGGACCTGCAATCCATAGAACAAGGATATACCCTATAAGCTTTATGTCTAATGCTACCTAAGATCTGCATAAATGCTATTCTTCTGGAGCAATGAGGTTGCAGTTCACACATCTGTTTTCTTTATTATACTTCCATGGAGTAGACTCATGAGATTTGCATGGGCTGTAATAAAAGGCCATATATAGCTATATGTTAAAATGCCATTAGACCTGAATTTGTGGGAGGAGTTAAGGCCCCTACTTAAACCCCTAGCCCCTACTCACCTTGGCAACCAGCACTTCCGGTCTGAGTTCCCGCCAGAAAAAAGTTACTGACGCTAGCAGTAGTCCTGTCGCTGCAGTATCCTCTGCCTCCGTTCGTACACTCCTGCGGTTCATACGGCTAAACAGTTGACCACAGGCATACTTATGTTCGTTCAGTCGTTCGCGCGGTTAAACTACCGATCGCTGAAAACATGTTTGCAATCTGTCTCACCATTCATTTAGTTTGCTGAACGCCTTCACGCCTCACTGCTATTTTTCCAAGTATGTTAACCGATCATTCCGTTCGTTTATATGAACGAACGCATCACTATTTTTTTATTATACTTACGTTCGTTAAATTTTCTAGTACGGCTAAGCAGCCGAACGCAGTCTCTCTGTGTGTATGCAGTTCTTCATGTAATATAAAATTTAGCCGAACGCCAGCTCCTATTCTTTCTTATGTATTGCTTTGTTCCTATGTTGACGTTCGTTAATTTGAACGTACAAAGCACTACATTAGAAATATTCATCCCTCTGCTTCTGATGTTTTAAAGTGACACTAACTGGGATACGCTGTTATTTACTTGTACTTTCTTTTAACTGAATATATTAAACCTTTTCATCTAAATGGCAATTAGACTGCAACAAGGTCATACGTTTTTCACTCCAGTACTATTCCCATGCAACTTATACATCTATAACCTAATTTAACTACCACGGTTCATGTTAGATCAATCACAATTTTTTTTTTACCAAAAGCACAATCACTCATTCACTATTTCTCTCAGCCTTTATACTTATTAAAGTACTTAGTTATATGTCATGTTTCTAGGCTCCTCAACTTCTCCTTTAACTCCAGCAAGTGGCTAACCCGGTATCCTGTCCTACAGCTTCAGGTATAGTATTACAAATTATAGTTATCTTGCCCCAAGGCCTCTTTCAGCCTCCACGGTAATAAACCCCAACCCAAGGCGGGTTGGCAAACTACAGCTATGGGACACCTTGTTACCATTTCACTACATTCTCATCTGTAATAAAACTCCAAACCAATATCACTGCTGGATAAATAACGACTGTACATAATTTGTTTTGTTATTTCTACACTTACTAAGTAGACCTGCGTTATACCGCAGTCCCTGCAAGCTTCTGGCACTTCTACCACAGACTGCTAACCTGGTGTCCTGTGTTCAATTACCAGGTATTGTTAATCTTACTCACTACGATTACGTTTTCTCCTCAAGGCCTTACTCAGCCTTCCTACGTTACATTCAAATATTTTGGTAATCAGGGGCTTGTCTCTGTTGAATGGACCAACATTCAGGTCCCTCATCTTACACGGGTTCTTACGTTACAGTATTACTGATACACACCTATCCATACGTCTCATATTTGCATATGAAGGTATATCAGTGGCACGGCTTGGGCCCACCTACATCTATCTTACCCCTAGGATCAACCTTGGCCGGACCAGTGAGTCGTCAAAGACTATGCGTTCTCAAGACCACTCTCACGCACAAAGTGATAAACATTATACTCAAGGTTAGTATCCACATGTGGTCAGTACACCTTTTAGGGGACAAGCCACAGCAGGTTTGGAGAACTGGCATACAGGGATAGGCGCTGGCCTTAGCTGACCCAAAGTAGTTTTACCGGTCCCTCAAGGCCAACTCCCCACCTCAACACAGAGGTTCAGCCCCATGGCCAAAATCATACTTAGCCGCCTCGCTCGCCCTGCTTTAGGTCTACAGTTAGGGCCTCCCATGTCAATGCCACACGTTTTGAATCTCTTACGGTCATCGAGAGGCCTACATCCCGCCACCATCAGTGGCCACAAATTCCCTCAGCCCAAATCATAGTTAGAGCCTCTCACTGCCGCTTGGCATTAGCAGGGCCTCATCTGTCTACTTGGCTATAGTTAAGTTCTCTGCCTTGGCACTAGTCAGCAAGCCAGTTCTACGAAAGCCTCGCTTCCCCTCCACACTCCCCTATCTAATTTCATCATTATTCCTTTTTCAGAATGCCACAGGAATCTATTCCCATCGAAGACTTACCTTCTGATGAAGTACCCATCACGCCAGCCAGGCCCGGGTCGCCAGAAGAATCCCTTACCCCCTCTACCCCGTGTCCCTGAGATCTTGGACTTTCCCTAAAATTGCGGCTGAATTCAGACTCAAGGGCATCCCCTTTCCAGCAACTGCTAGGAAAGCAGAGTTTTACAGGCTTTTGACGGCACAGGCCAGCGAACCCAGACCTGGCACTGGCCCCAAGGGCTGTCCACCGGCACCTCAAATTCCATGCAAGAAACCTTGGCTGCTATTCTGGCCAACCTACAAACAATGAATAATAAACTGTTGAAGGTGGAATCTGCTATCACTTTAGGTGACATAGCAGGCTATGCAGTTCCTCCCTTGGTAATCCCTATTTTGCTGACTTGCCTCCCCCATTCCTTTACCTCCTCCACCAACCACAACCATTACCTTATATGTTTCACCTGCACACTCCGTCCCAGCATCCATTAAAAAAGATATACTGGATGGAAAGGACGTGAACTTAGTCTCCCTGCTCATAGCTTCACAGAATGTCCTTGAAAACCGTGCTTACAACTACGGGGACATCTCAGTGGTGCTTAAATCCAGAGACCCACGCCTTAACAAAACTATCCATTCCACAGTTTGTCATAGCTTTTGGTATTTACAGGGATGTAATTTGCACGGTGTATCCTCACAGGAGGGAAGAACTCACAACCACAAGGTGGTTGATTTAGGCAATAAGTACGGGGGGTCCTCTTTCTACGATTACCACAAGTCCGTGTCAGCCAAGGCGGCAACTCATTTGGCCCAATTTAATATCATAATAGACTGTTGCCAGATGGACACGGAACTATTCTGCCATTTTGCGGGATTGAGGCCACCATCCTGTGCCGCTTATAGCTCCACATCTCACTCTACAGACTTGTGCCCTTGCGAAGCGGACCCTTCCACTTCCCACCACGCCTTCACCCCACACACCAGACAGGAAAGCCGCCAGAGGGACAAGCTGGGTAGTCCCATTGTGTTTCTGGGCAAGGCGCAGGTGCAACAACTTTAATACCGGTGCATGCAGCTTCAGCGCATGTCGGTTGTTGCACGTCTGCTCCATTCGCTTCAGAGCACATACTAAGGCAATGTGTCCGGCCCGACTGTCACCTAAAAAAATAACTGATCTAGGTTATATTCACATTATTACTTTCTAACTACGCTCCCACCCAGCAAGGCATTTGGTTGATTATCTGGTGGCAGGTTTCTCACACGGGACCCATCACCATCCCCACAGGCACGCTTGAATGCCCTAACCTGTTTTAAGCTGATTATGCCACTTTTACGGTGGACCACCTACTGTCCAAAGAAACCAAAGAAGGCTTCATGTTTGGCCCCTTTCAATACTTCTCCTTTCTCATCCTGGTGAACCAATCCCATTGGTATAGCTGTACATTAATACTCAAAAAAAAGATTAATCATTGACCTCTCTGCACCTCATTCTTCTTCCGTCTCAGGCATAAACTCTCACATACCTGCTGAGGAGTTTTCACTACACTATGCAAATTCAATGACGCTATGCAAGACATCATCACAGCAGGCAGCAAGGCATGGTTAAATAAGACCGACATCACCAACGCCTTCAAGCTCCTGCCCATTCACCCCTCACTTTGGCGCTTACAACGGTGTAAAATGGCGGGACAGGTACTATTTTTCTACCCAGCTTAATTTTGGGGCAAGGAGCAGCCCTTAGCTGTTTTGACATTTTCGCTGAAACACTATGTTGGCTGCTCCTAAACATAGTCAGGTGTTTCTCCATTATCTACTATTTGACGTTTTTGTTGGCAGACCAAGTAGCATTCACAACACCACAGACCTCTTCACCACAGTAGGGGTAACCCTGTCACCGAGTAAACGATTGGACCCTCTAACAAGCTGGTTTTCCTGGGTTTTATTCTGGACACAGTATCCTTCCAAGCCAGCCTTACCCCCAGAAATTGACCTGAATTAGGGACGAAATCGATCTGTTTGTGGGGAGTGATACATGCACCAGGAAGGGACCCCAGTCCTTGGGTTCCCTTGACTTTGTGATGCAGATCATTCCACAAGGCAGATTATTTGTCTCTGGGCTACTGTGTCTACTTCATAGGGCACCAGAACCCTGCCCAATTACTTTGAACGTTCCAGCCAGAGCTGTTTTGTTCATGTGGTATTAAATTGTCCAATTGGAATAAGGTATCTCTGTTCATACCATCTGCGCTTTCACCTAGCATTTACACTTTCGCAGCAGTACACACTGAGTTTGCTGCCATTTTCAGCAATCACTGGTTTAGGGATAACTGGTAGTAAAAAATGCTATTCAGTTAACTCAGCAGACTGCGAGTTTATCAACAAAGGGCAGTCCTCCTCTCTTACCATCATCAGGCTGATACGCAAGCTATCTTGGCTGGCAGCAACCGCTCAGTTTCACCTTGTGTGCATTCTCATTCCTGATATCCATAACACTGCGGCTGACACTCTCTCCCGTTCTCAATTTCAGTGTTTTCTTCCAGGCACACCCCACGGCCCACACCTACCATCCAGGATTCCACCTTTTCAAGAGATAATCATGGACTAACTGAGCTACTACGTCACGCTCAGGCACTTACGCACCATGCACTCTCACCCAACACCACTACCACTTACGCTAGGGCACTGACTATTTTCACTGCGGAGTTTCACTTGCAAGGAGACTTCTCCATTAAAACCATGGTAGCTTTTTCCTCCTTCTGTCACCTACACCTTAAATTATCCCACAATACTATTTAGCTTTACCTCACAGGGGTACACCACGTCCTCACCAACTATCCTAATCGTGCACCTTTCTTAGCATCATACCGTATTAAGAACATCCTCAAAAGGTATTCACAAGGTTACAGCTCCTCCTGTCACTACCAGATTGGCAATAGATGGTCCTATTTTCAGATTACTTAGAGACCTACTAGACAAATCACCATTCGACTATCATACTAATCTAGTGTTAAAGGCAGCTATCTGTATTGCTTTCTACGGCTTCCTCAGACCTAGGGAGTGCAGTCATAAGGGCAGATACAATATCAAAACCAATAAAGTGCAAAAAACAACCGGACTAGGGGAAGCTAAAGGAACACTCAAAAAGGGGGTAACCCATACACCTAAGCGATAGTAGTAAAGAAAGGAAAAAGAAGAGTGACCTTACAATAAAATATAACTTTTAATGAATATATTAAAAACTGTGAAAATGTAGGGATAAACATCCAATAATGAAAATCCATGTCATAGAGAGTCAGTATAGAAAATAATCCTATAATACAATATATAATATTTCTCTCTAATGGAAACTGCCCAAAAAATACTATAGTGATGGCAAGAGACCAGAGAAGAAATATATATATGAAAATTAATATATAAAACAACGATTCTAAAGTTGAAAACTTCTAATATACTTGGGAGGTTCTGTTCTAAAGTTTTAAGAAATCCAATCCCAAAATAAATTGGCAAAACCAAGTTTTGCGGTCCACCAGAGAACAGGAATAGTACTGTTTGCTGTAAAGAATGCTACAAAGTAAGTAATGGCAGAAAACAAAAAAACTGATCGTGAATAAGAAATAATGTAACAGTTTAAGACAGCTAACAGTGCTAAAAAAATTAATTGATTAATTAATCTTGCCTTTCTGATTCTACAGAGGTTAATATGTGGAGCCAATATCTGAGACTGTAAATATAAATTATAGAATATAGTAGAAAGGAAGGCTAAATGTAACTGCCTCTGTGGAAAGAAACTAAGCCGTATTAGCAGTAAAAGTGATATTGGAGTTCTTGATCAAAATATTAAACCTATAAAGAGAAAGATAGACTTGGAATTCTCATATAACCTAATAATATAACCCAAAATTGCTATAAAATGCATTGACGGCAAATGTGCACAGGGACCGCGATTCTAGAATTAAATTAATAACGGTCAAAAAGTAGTAAAAGTCAAAATATCTCTAAGTCTAATATCTCACCACACACCACTATTGCTACTCCAAGGGCACCCACTCACCACAGCTAAATTCACTTCTCACATTAGGACGCTACTGTCAAGGTTGGGCTACCTGGCTTCCTTCTCCGGTCACTCCTTTTGTATAGGAGCAGCCTCTTCCACATCATCAAGAGACCGGGCCGCTGGAAATCATCCATTTACAATACTTGCATATCACAACCAGAGTAGGAGTTTCGGCAAGTTTTCAGAAGTCTAGCTTTGTAAACTTGCAATAAAGTGTGTTTACTTTGAATTCTCCTTTTGCCCTCTTATTACAGGCCAACTTGTGAATTGGTTTCTGCACAACTCAACCAACCTTCTACAATCCATAACCTAGTGAAATTCTGAGCACAAATTTATATATATTATATATATATATATATATATATATATATATATTATATATATAAAAAATTGCTCTTTTAGTCCCCCACCTCAAAAATATAATTTGGCTCCCATGTCCTCTAACAGTGTCTTGAGGCAGAAGAAGCCACACTGAATGAACACTTTTAACTAGTAACTTAAGTGTACTAACAGAAAAGAAACAAAATACCGTATTTTCCGGCGTATAAGACGACCCCCAACTTTTCCAGTTAAAATATAGAGTTTGGGATATACTCGCCGTATAAGACTACCCCCTCTTCCACTGCACACCAAATAAAAATTAGCCATGATGTACAGTGAGCAGACAGAGCTACACAGCAAGACATTAAATAATGATAATCTGAAATAGCATTTAAAGCCCAGGTATGTGCCAGGCTGTTTGGGCATATAATCCATGCCTGCTGGTCTAGCACACAGGAGGCTAATTGCGATATATTCTTTTTACTCCCCCCCTCCATTCTTTTTACTCCCCCCCCCCAATCCTCCCTACGTTCTTCTCACCTCCCCTTCCCTGTGCAGAGTGGGTGGCCGAGCTCAGTGTGCACTTCCTTTCAGTCCGGCCGGGAACAGGTAACTGAATCTCCTGTACCACGCGGCCGGACTGACAGGACGAAGAGGAGCTCGGCCACCCACTCTGCACAGGGAAGGGGAGGTGAGAAGAGAGGCAGTGCGGCAGCCATCTGAGCGCTCTCTATAGAGCGCTCAGGCGGCTGCAGCATTAGAAGGGCCGGCGATGGGGGCGCAGGGCGCCCCCGGCAGCCATATAGACCCTATACCTGGCGTATAAGACGACCCCCGACTTTGGAGAAGATTTTCCAGGGTTAAAAAGTCATCTTATACGCCAGAAAATACAGTAAATCCAAGCCCAAAGAGTAATTCTTTCCATTCTGTTAAAATTAGACCCTGGGCAACACACGGGTCAGGAAAACCCCAATTTCAAAATAGAATCTTTAGAAAGAAAGTGCTCTGCTTAACACCAATCCAAGTAACAGGATTCTAAAAACCATGCACTTTAAATCACAGGACTCTTGCATGCCCAGTGGTGTGGAATGCACACCACACATGCACCTGAGAGATTGCATCATTGCGGACGCTACCATTCATTCTCAGAAAAACATACATGAAGACACCGTTGCAGTAGGCATTTACAAACCCGCCTGTAACTATACCAGACTCCTTGCCGCTGCAGACACTTTAAATTCTATGCTAATAGTGGCACAGTGAAGCCGAATGCAGGGTAAAAAAAATAAAAAAATAAAAGAATTTTCTGCATTTAAAACTAAAATCCTGCAGATATATAAATTCATGTAGAATATAACAAAGGCATTTGGAGGCACTAGATGCCTAAAAACTAACTAGTTATATAATGCTTAAATGCACTCACATAATACAGAAATCCAATGACAGGATTATCACATCCTAAAAAGCACTCAAGGTATTATTACTTGGCTTTTGTGGGTGAGGTCTATACAAGAATTGTATGATTGCACACAGGAATAATAAAATCTAGTCAACTGTTGCCAGGCAGGTAGTCCTCTGCTGGTCTCCATGTTGACTCCAATGCACAATTATACTTACAGTAAGTCGTCATTTGGTAATCAAAACAGCACTAACATATACTGTTGCACTATACAATAGAGCACATACAAGTAAAAACAAAAAACATGTAGTGATACAAAAGGAGCTTACATTCTTGCAAATACAAAGCTGATCAAGATAACTTGTGAGCCTACAATCTAAAGGTGATAATGGGGGGTTAAAGTGAGGTTGCAGGAGTGTTGTGAAGTTGATGAGACTCAGATCTGTTGAATAAAAAAACCCAAAAAGAAACAGACTGATTTCCAGAACTAAGCTAGCAGTCTATGGGGCGCGGGGGGGGGAAGAGGTTCATTTACAGACCATGGTTTATCTGCTTTGCCAAGATTCCCCTTTTCTGTAAATCATTATGTACGGGGAATCTATGTATTAAAGCATATCCCTCTTTTATATTTAAATTAATTTAAGTAATGGTCACTTCTCTTTGAATAGTTTAAAACCCTTCTGAAAAGATACATTTTAAATGTTCACTGCTTTAAAAAATACAAAATAAAGTTGGCACAGCTTCTGCATTCTCATGAAAGAACGAAGAGTGGATCAGTATGTCACACTGATGATACTCGCACCATCCATTTTACAGGAATTGTAACTCTTGCTGCAATTCAAAAGATTCACTTTTAATTTAATCACCCATTACAGGTATATCACGAGTGTGTATGTGTCCCTCGCAAGGTTCCATTTTTGTGCGTACATACATGTAAATTAGGTTTAGGACTTCTTATTACTCCTCCACAGAATATAAAACACATGCAAACTTCCAAGGTCCCCACATATTGATCAGTGGAAATACTCCTCAGGACATCTTTACCACTAGTCCCTGGATGACTGTGTGGCTAAAAACTATCCTTGCATTTCTAAGTCACTGGAAAAAAAATAATTTCAACATATGTCTACTTTTCATCAAAATACCAAACATTTGGGCTTATGTGTCTGGTCAAATGTTCTTTCCCATCCAGACATGTCAATGGCTAACTACTCCTTGATCCTCTGTACGCAGTAACTGGAACCAAGAAATGATCCCATTCGGTGTGAGTTGCAGGACGATATAATAAACGCAAATTGTTAAGAACCTGCTTTGATGCAAAATGGGTTTTCCAAAACACAATTGGTTTATAGATTTTATTATCAAAGTTTCTTGTAAAACAAAATTCCAGGAACTGTACATCAAGATGGCACAAATTGTTACCTACATTTGTTTACTGACAATGAAAACAGAAGCCAAGTAGATCCTGAAACTCAAAATGAGTTAATCTACACTGCATACACTAGCACGTGGAATCACTATCAAATTACTACTGAAATGATAGTGAACACAAATGCATCTTTTAGTCTAAAAAAACAAACAAAAACAAAACCAGAGCCTTGCTTTAAACAGGCAAATGTCAGATTAAAAAAAACGCACTAATTTTAAATTAAATTGCAGAACAAAGTAAAATATTCAAGTGGCGGGCTAGACTTAATGTGTAAAACAGTTTACAATATAGGGAGGGGGAGTTGTAATAATATTGAATATGTCATTAAGATTACTAAACAAAACCAAAATATGGAGGGGATCATCACAGCCTCCGAAGGGTTAGTATGATTTATTGAAGCTTTTTGAAAACAAAGAGCCACAAAAACATCCAGTCTTAAGGCCAGCCAGAACTACATACATTGGAAGGATGGACACTGAAAATGCCATCTTCCAGTTTACCATACAAAAGACCATTGACTTGAACATCTATGTGCCTGTCACATTTAACATGTAAATCAGCATATTTCCTATAGAGTTCTTTTATTCAAAGTCAGTCTAACGCACTAAGGACATGGAGCAACTAAACAGCAAATCATAAAGCTCATTCCAAGTGTAGTAGACACATGCAGCAAATGTGGGAGTCACATTAGGGATATATTTTTTCTTCTTTTTTTTATTTTACATTTTATTTAACAATTCTGCTTGACCTCACAAATCGTTTTATCCACTCGAATGCGTTAGACCAGCAATGGTAAAACTCTGACACTGCAACTATTGGAACAATCCTTCTCTGCTTTTTTTTTCTGCCCAAAGGCTGCAGTGACAAAGGTTGGCCATTACGGTGTTAAGCTAACCCTTTATGACAGATCTTATAACTGTTTTATGTTCTGTACATACACTAATAGCTCAGTGTCATATACAACCAAATTTGAAATAAAATTTTAAATAGAAAACAATCACATGGGGGACACTGGTCCATATCTTAAGTAACATTAGATGGCAGGGTTCTCAATCACTCATGTCCATGTCCTCTTCATGATGGTCATCTCCGTTCACTTTGGAGTCTTTCACCAACTCGCCGCTTATCTTCTCAATCGAGGTTTCACTCGCCTGAGCAGGACTTGATTCTGTCACCATCATCTCCTCACGCCTCTCTTTTTCACTGTCATAGCCTTGCTCCTCTTCATCATAGTCCCGAGTCACCTGCTTTCCAAGCACAAGAACAGAGGTAAGGTTTGCATTCAAAAAATATTTACCAGTCAAAAAAATTTAACTACCCTAGAGATTATTTTTAAGTAGAAATTGAAGTTGTAAACTTACTTTCACATCTTTTTCACTCTCCGATCGTCTCTCACGGTCCTTGTCTTTATCTTTGCTTTTCTTCTTCTTGCTAGTAGATCTCTCGCGCTCATCTCTAGTCTTTTCTCTGTCCTTATCCTTCTTTTTCTCTTTCTTATGTCTACATTCAAAACAGGGGATGTGTTCAAAACTGTTAAATGCAAACTTAACGCACTATTTTACACATTTTTCAGCAGATGAATAGAGGTGCTTTGCTTACATAAAATACACCTCTTGTATATTTGAAGGGGGGAAAAAAAAAGTCTCTATGATCTTCCCTCCACAGAAGCAAGGAAGACCATAGAGACTGTCAGTTGTCAAACACTGTCTGACCGAAGGTGCATGTATATGGTTAACGCAGGGATGCACAAAAGGAAGATCCCTGGATGTTTTAAACTACAGCTTCCATGATGCTTTGCCATTCTAAATGCATGCAAAGCATCATGGGAGCATCTGTATCCTTTTACTCAGGGGTGCCTAAAGGTAGATCCCCAGACGTTGTAGAACACAACTCCCATGATGCTTTGCATGTAGTTAGAATGGCAAAGCATCATGGGAGTTGTAGTTCTACAACCTCTGGGGGATCTACCTTTTAGACATCCCTGGTTTAAAGGATAAAGTCGTATATTAAAAGGTAGGAATTGGTGGGGGGGGGGAGAGAAAAAAAGAAAAGAGACACCAAAATATTTGCTGAAATGTTAGGATACTAAAAAAATATTTTGAGGTGACAGTTGTCCTTTGAGTCACTCTTCTTTCTCATTAATCTGTAACTGCTCAGGCCAATGTTAAAGAAAATGTATTCACTTGTCTTAATCATTTAATGCACAGCTACAATGCATCCACAATCTATGTAGACAAAAACATCACATAATATGAGGAAATTGAACTCAAACTACAGTAATGAAATAAGTGATAGGAGAAAAAGTGAGCAGCAGTTTAGTGTAAAATATATTGTACAAATGAGGAAGCAGGAAGAAATATGGATTCCACTGGAATAATTACCTCCTTGGAGATGGGGAGCGAGATGTTTTCCTTTTTGGCGATCTCATTTTTTTGGGAGATCTCGACACACTCCGGCTTTTTCTGCGCCTTCTATCCCTGTAATTCAGAATGTTACAGTGTTACACAACTTGCTCAACAGGAAGCTAGAAACCAGTATCAATGTAAGGTGTCGTCTTTTATAGTTTTATTAAGTGGCACCTAGTTTATTCTTTTGCTAGATTCTATACTGAACAGTGTTTTTAATTTCCAAGTTTAAAGTAAGAACATAGAATTGGGGTTCCATTGGCTTAAGTACCTGCTTGTGCTTCTAGACCGTCTGCTTGTGCTATAGCTTTTGGGTGGGGTTTTAGAACGTTTTTTCTCTTTTTCTTCTCTTTTTTTCTCCCTAAACCAAGAAAAGAAAAACTCTTGAATTAACACATTTGATCTAGAAACACATCAATGCAATACATTTCTTGTTATAGAAAAATATACCCAATGTGGACAATAAAAACATTATTTAATGGATGCTTCTTACCTAGGTTTGGAAGTGCTCCGTGATCTCCTGCTTCGTTCTCTTGAATGAGATCTTCGTCTTCTAGGGCTCTTGGATCGTCGCCTACTTCTAGACTTAGAATGCGACCTCCTCCTTGATCGGCTTCGAGAACGTCTATTTAACAAAATGGATTGTTAATGTTGGAAAAGACTATCTTAACTTGCCATACGGCTTTTTATTTAGGAAACTTGGAGGTCCTCAGTCTACTGATGGATGGAGATGATTCTTAGACAGTAGTCAGAAAGACATGTTGTACTAGACTAAAGTAATACTAACGATTTGCCACAATGGCTAATTTTAGGGCCTTCATAGCATGAGAATGACTGTAAAACTAATGTCAACTTCTGTGTCCTCCTTCCTGGGAGCAAACACTTTGGATATGCTCCTTCTGCAGCTTAAAGACCAGGGTAAGGACAGTCTACACCTGGGGTAGGCAACCTTCGGCACTAAAGATGGTGTGGACTATACCTTCCCTGATTCTCTGCCAGCATTATGGTTGTAAGGGCATTAAGAGAACTGTAGCCCACAAAATCAGGAGTGCCGAAGGTTGCCGACCCCTGAACACCACCAATTCTGGACCCTCCAATTTCTGTCTGGAATGTATCTCATAGATCATTGCACAGCAGACACACACACACAAAAAATATAATATATATATATACACACACACACTATCCATATATCTCAAACGGCTTTCTAAAGCCATGACTGTATTGTACACCGTGAGCATTGTACTTTGCATGCCTTATGTAATTTTATATTAAGTGAAGCAGGTCAAGCCTAAAGCGCTAGTTGTGCCAAGAATTCACATACCAAGAAGGTTATGCAATCTTATTTTTAGGTTTTTTTTTTTTGTATTTTTGACACATAACATGCCTTTGATGACATTTTAAAAAAGCGCTTAACACAAAAGTACAATACGTGGAGCACACACACACCATGAAGACGAATGGGACAAGCAGCACTGGTGTCCCTGGCAACTGTTTAGAATGTTGCTGTACTTCTTAAACATTTTAATCATTATCAAAACGGACTATCTGAAGCCAGTTACTACTTATTAATATATTTAATTACAGACAGCGTTACTGCATACCTGTGCCTGGACGAGGAAGGCGTTCTCCTGCGTCTAGATCTTGACCGTGATCTAGAATGTTTTTTTCCTTTATCGTCCTTTTTATCTACCAGACAAAATAAATCAATAAATCAGACCATGGATATTTTTTAACAATAACCTACATAAAACAAACCAACTATAATAATTTACCAGGTTCGATGGCAGCTGAAATCAAAGACTGTGCTTCCCGCACTCTTTTCATAGCTTCTTCGATATCTTTTGAGGTGTCAGACTTGAGACTTGGAGACACAAGTCCAGCTGTTACATGGTTCAATCTAGCAAAGGAATTAGAGTCTAGTTAGTCATTAGAAAACTACACATTCTGCTCTACTTTGGCAAA